GGGGGCCCACGTGCCGTGGAGCGGCTGGGCCCGTGAGCTATGGCCGCTGGGCCTGCTCGTCCGGAGCCTGTGCTCCGCGGTGGGAGGGGCCGCAGCGGTGAGAGGCCCGCGTACCGCAAAAAAAAAAAGTACATGTTGAGGCAGAGCCCCTTCAAAGAAGGTTGCATAGAACCCTGCACACAGCAAGTGTCGGATAAATAATTGTGGACTAACTAGTGACTGATAAATATTTGCTGACTAATTTTTAATGTTTTCAAAGAACAGTAGTATGTTGCTTAAAAAGAATACAGAACTGTAAATATGGTATCATAAGCCTTGCAAATACAGGAAGGAAATGTTTAAATTTCCAAAACTAAATTATAATTGTATCTGAGAAATGCAATTTGGGTAGAGGTGACTTTTATTCTCCTTACCGTTGTCAAATATGTCCATAAGCAGAAAATCACGACCATTGTAAAGCAATCATACCCCAATAAAGATGTTAAAAAAAAAAAAGTTATCCATTTTAGATAAGAAAAAGAAAAAGATAATCACGAAAGCTTTCATTTAACGAGCCCGGTGAGGTCCCACTGCTTGGGTCCCACAAGTACCCAGTCCACCCCCAGGCCCCCATGAGCCTCTCTCACCAGCGGGCAGTCCTCGCAGGTGGTCTGCCTGCACTCCAGCTTGAATCCGGAGATGACCCCCACCTGGACGGTGCAGAGGCAGGTGGTACACAGGTCAACCATCAGACTCCTCCCGGGCTGGAACCAAAGGGACCAGGGTCAGGCCTCCTGGCACCCGGACCCCCCGACCCTCCACTGCCCTCAGTCCCGTGAGCCGTCTGCCTTGGGCGTGGGGGCCCGGCTGCCCAAAGCTGCCAGGATCCATCACCCTGATTCACCTCCTGTCCCGAGGGGTCTGCTCCCTCCCTTCCCCACCCCACCTCAAGGATGGCATGGTAAGAGCGAGGGCTTTGCCGGCAGAGAGGGAGCCGGGGCAGCGGGAGAGGGGCAGATTGAAGTGTGCAGAGAAGAAACGCTCGAGTGCCTGGGGCCGGGATGTGAGCGCTAGAAGGCGGGGCCCGGGCCCTGGAGAGGTAGGGGCTCCACTCCAGGATGCCTGGGAAGCCCTGGAGGAAAGGAACGTGCGGGTGGGGCAGGCCCCCCGGCTCCTTCCACTCGCACTTTAGAATGACACCCTTCCCACAGCACCCCACCCCTGCCCCCCAGGCGCCCTGGACCGAGGAGAAGGCGGCAGCTCACCCCGATGATGGTGCCGTTGAGCACACAGGCCTGCACGGGCTCTGGGGAGAGACAGGCACAGGGCATGGGTGTGCGGAGCACAGCTGGCGAAGGCCCGCGACCCAGCTGCCCCTCCCAGGCTGGACCTCCCTGCTCCACCTGCCGGTCGTTCTCCCCACCCAGTGCCAGGTGCTCTGGGTCCTCCTGCCAGAGCCCACGTGGCCACAGTGGCCCCAGGCCCGCTGAGGAAGGGCAGCTGCCTGCTCCCCACCACCCAGCCTGCAGGGGGAAGGTCCCTGGAGTCCTCGAGGGGAGGGCACTTGTTTAAGTGATTCACGCCCAAGGGGTGAGTGGGAGAATGTTTGGGCTTTTGTCAAAGAAAGAAATTCTACTCTGGAAACTTGAAGTCCCAAGATAAAATCACACAGAGTCCAGGACATGGGGTGGCGAGAGCTGTTTGCTGCTGCTGCCGTTGGTTGTTTGGCTGGTTGGTTGGTTGGTGGGTGGGTGGGTGGGTTGCTGGGTTGCTTGGTTGCTTTATTTGGTTGGTTGGTTGGTTATGTGGTTGGTTGGTTGACTGTGTGGTTCGTTGGTTAGTTGGTTGACTGGTTGGTTGGTTGATTGGTTTGTTTATTTGGTTGGTTGGTTGGTTGGTTGGTTGGTTGGTTGGTAGGTGGGGTTAGGGGATGGGCAGTTGGAATACCTTTTCCAGCCGAATGATTGAGAAGAAGTCTCTAGAATTAGAGAAGCCTGGGTCCAAGCCCAGTTCTACCACTCACTAACTCACAAGAGCAAAGGGAGGTCTAATGGTACCCACCTCATGGGACTGTCATAAGGATGACATGAGACAAGGTACAAAACCAGCGCTGACACAGTGATGACCCTCAGGAAATTGTCCCATTTCCCTCATCTTATTTGCTTTCTCCCCAGAGTGTTAGCAATGGATGGAAAGATTTGATCCTCCCCATTTCCCTAAGCTGCTCAAAAGGCAAGGATTCGGGAGCCTTAGAGGAAAGAGAGGCTTGAAGGCGGACTTGGTGGCACATCTTACCGCAGTGACAGGTGGGGCAACAGCCCGAGGTCTGACAGCTCAGCTGGAAGCCCGAGGGGCAGGTGGGGACGTTCAGTTGGGGGCAGGAGACATTCCTCTGTTGCACGAAGACCTCCTCCCTGACTCGGACACACTCGTAGATGAGGCAGGGGTCCTCGGGAGAGGCCCAGTGAGAGCCAACCTGTGATCGGAGCACCCAAGTTGGTCGGGGGGCCAAGGTCCCGCTGGGAGTGGCGGCCCCCTCAGGAGCTGGTGTGGGTCCTGGAGGTGAGCCAGGCTCAACGGCTAAGCCCTGCCCACAGGGTGAGGCACACAGAGGGAGGGACAGCTCATCCGGGTCCTTCAGTGAGCCTGCGTCAGAGTCACCCTGACCAAGATCCCAGCTCAGAGCCCCGCGTGCTCCCAAGACAGAGTCTTGAGCCACCGGAGGAAGCACCTGGGGACACCTAAGGACGCTCCCTCCACCCTTGGCTCGGCTGGGAGCTGAGTGTCCAGGAATGGCTGCATGGGGAGACAGTGGAGGGGAGATGTGGAGGGAAACTCAGCCCAGCACCCAGCCTCGGGCTGCTTCCCTCTGGTACAGGGAGCCGGTGAGAGCCGGGGATGCTGGCGTCTGAGCCTCGGCTCTGAAATCTGTCCTGAGCTCCCCGGCTGCACATGGGTGGCCTGTCCCAGGTAAGAGCCGGGGATGCTGGCGTCTGAGCTTCGGCTCTGCAATCTGTCCTGAGCTCCCCGGCTGCACATGGGTGGCCTGTCCCAGGTAAGAGCCGGGGATGCTGGCGTCTGAGCTTCGGCTCTGCAATCTGTCCTGAGCTCCCCGGCTGCACATGGGTGGCCTGTCCCAGGTAAGAGCCGGGGATGCTGCTGTCTGACCCTCGGCCCTGCAATCTGCCCTGAGCTCCCAGGCTGCACACGGTGGCCTGTCCCCAAGGGCACCACAGTCAAGGATCACTGAGTGTCCAGAACATGGTTCAGAAAGTCCTGTGGAGGTTCTGCCCGGACAACACGTGACCGTGAGCACCGTCTGTGTGGTCCAGCTCCCAGACACGCAAGCGGGGCGCCCGGCCTGCCCACTCCAGGCCCAGCCACGTCCCTTGGCCCCTGTTCCCTTTCTTCTCTTTCCAGAAGAGAAGTAGAAAGTGCCACACACACACTCTCCTGACCCCCCTTCTGACTCACCCTGACCAAACCTTCCCGCTGCGGGCCACACCCCACTCCGATCATTTACCCGCCAAGCTTTGGGCACATCAAGAGGACCTGTCCCTACCCACACCTGCTGGTCCCCCCAGAGCCACTGCCGACCCGCAAGTCTTATAGGTAAGATGGAGACTTGAATTGGGAAGGGAAACTCTTTTGTGAACACTGATGTGGGTCAGGGCTGAGGGAGCCCTGGAGGCAGATGAGAGACCAGAGGTGGGGGGTGGGGGGGATGGAGCGGTGAAGAGGATGCTGAGCCTCACAGGGACCAGCTGGGCTTCCCTGGTGGCGCAGTGGTTGGGGGTCCGCCTGCCGATGCAGGGGACGCGGGTTCGTGCCCCGGTCCGGGAAGATCCCACGTGCCGCGGCGCGGCTGGGCCCGTGAGCCATGGCCGCTGAGCCTGCGCGTCCGGAGCCTGTGCTCCGCAACGGGAGAGGCCGCAACAGTGAGAGGCCCGCGTACCGCAAAGATAAAATAAATAAATAAATAAATAAATAAGGGACCAGCTGTCAGCCCCAACGAGGATGGAGTAGCCTCCGGCCCTGATCCCAGGATGGGATGGGGAACAGAGAGGTTAAAGGCACGGAGAGGAGGAACACAGCAGGGAAATCCACGGGTAACGAGAATTAGAAGAGGGAGGTGGGAACGCTGGTGGGAAACTCACTCTGTCACCACCAAGGAGGAGGAGACTGGTGGCCGGGGCAGGACAGGTAACCCTTTGCCCTCCTTCTAAACAGAGTGTGTTTTGGTCTCGCTGGAGGACTCAGAAGGGGAAGGTCCCTAGGTGCACCTCACCCCCTCCCAGCATCCACGTCCTGAGGATTCCAGGGCTTAGCACCCCTCCACTTCATCCTTATCCATCAGAGTAAAAGGACTGTTCGCATCCTAGCGTGTGGGCTAAGACTGACTCCCGGGGAGGGATCCTCTGTGCTTCAGAAAATGGCTTTATGAGCATCCAGAGTCAAAGTGAGAGCCTCTGGGCCACGAAGGAGAAGCGACCCTGCTCTGTTTCAGGGCAGGGGATCTGGGGGTGGGGGTCTGGGCAGGAGAAGACAAGGGTGGGGAGATGGGGGCTGCCAACACGCCCAGGGGCTACAGCCAGAGCTGCAGAAGGGGGCTCGGGGGCCCTGGGAACAGAAATGTAGTTTGCTTCTCTGGGTTACATATTTCTCCAACAGAAACCAGTGAAAAGGTTAGAGGACGCCGCCTGGGCCGGTGTGGCATGAGCTGTATTTGCCGCCTGTGCGGTGTGGCAGGGTGCCAGGCCCACGACACAGCCCTGCACCACCCATCAGGGGAAGCAGGTCCTCAGCTTCACAGGTTAAACAGGAGAACATGACCCCCACCCTCAGGTGTTCACAGAACTCAGAGGGAGGGAACTGGGCTTCTCCCCAAATCCACACAATGGGAAGTCTGGGGCCACTTTAACTAGTTCCCTGGGAGCAAGGTGATCCCAGCTGACATCTGGATAAACCAACAGCCGCATTAAACTCTCTGTGGGGAAAGCAAAAGGCAGGGAATGAGCTTCCACTTTACGGATGGAACCAAGGGCAGCACCGGCCCCCAGATGGACGACCAGGCTGGTGAGGCCCCCGCCCTCCTTCCTACCCACCCTGGCCCAGACCTACACTCTTCCAGTAGGACTGGGAGTCTCCCCGAGGGGAGCCGGTCACCACCTCGCAGGCAGATGGCATGCACGTTCCACAGCACTCGCCTTCGTGGAGAACGTAAGTGAAGCCCTGAAAACACACAAGGGGTGGAGCGTCAGGACAGGCCGGCAGCAAAGACAGGTGTTCTGGTCCACTCGGCAGGTGTACGGAGCCCTGGGGCTTGCAGAGGGACAGCTGGACCAGATGTTTTCATCTCTGCCCTCCACCAGCCCCTCGATCATGCTAAGTGGTCAGGAAGCATCACCCACTGAGTCACTATGGGTCTTACACCAGCCGAAGAGACACAACCCTGCCCTCTGCAAACTTCCACTTAAGAAGAGCCAGTCCATGGGAGTATTAAAGATGCTCAGAGTTCCCTCAGAAGCAGCCAGCTGCCCTGATGTTCATCACAGCCCAAATCCAGGGTCCCTCACTGACTGGGGAGAACATTCCAGAAGGCTGGAGTCCCGGCTCTGCCCTAACAGGGCTAATTACCTGCACAACATGAGTGCCTTGACCCCAGGACCTCTCAGCGATGTGCAGAGCTGGGCTCCCCCAGGTAGTCACTTGACATTTACCTAGTAGTTTATGGGGCACAGTGAAATGAGACCCAGTTTCCCCAGAAAGCCTGCCAGGGAGGCCAGCATCCTGCAAGTCTGAAGTCTGCCAGCCTATCCCCCCTCTTGGAGGTCCCCAATCTGGCCAAAGCATCGGGAACTTGGATTGAAACCCTCCAATGAAAACTCTGAAGCGATGTACAAAGAACAGGCAAAACAATGATGTGTGAGGCTGTCCCGGGGCCAAGGGGCAAGAACCCGGGCCTGTGCAGCATCTCAGAGGGAAGGACGAACTGCAGCCGCAGCCGTTCAGGATGGGGGTGGGCACCACACCCGCTCTGCTCCCCAACAGCGCTCACAAGCAGGGCCCAGTCAGAGGACGCACTCAACACTCGGTATCATCCCAGGTGGTTCCTCTCCCAGGGGAACACGAGGACCCCAGACACCTGGCTCAACTTTGCAGCATCTCCATGGGACCTACTTACACCCCGACCTGCGTCACAGCGGTGCCCAGTGAACTGTCCTCAGTCCTTGATCAGAGGAGATCTAGTTAGTCATCGTGCACCTATGATGTACTATGTGCTTTGGAGGCGCCAACAAATTAGTATGATACACTCGACACGCCCTCTGCTACAAGGCAGGATACACAAAATGGCACAAAAGAAACAGACACGAGGGAGCCTAGAACAGAGACATCGATGCCTTTAGGGATCTAGAGTCACTCTTGGGCACCCCCCTCAGGGTGCTGAGTGGTATGGATTTGTGCATACTCTACGTTTTCTGCTGCCTCCACCACGGGCAAATACACTGCGGGTTATGGATGACCCAGGCTGGACGCCTGGTTCCCACAGCCCTACCTGCTTCTCATGCTCAGGTACTCCCGGCCACGCCCCCAGGCTCTGGGGTTGCCAACTTTTTTTTTTTTTTTTTATTTATTTATTTTTGGCTGTGTTGGGTCTTCGTTTCTGTGCGAGGGCTTTCTCTAGTTGCGGCGAGCAGGGGCCACTCTTCATCGCGGTGCGCGGGCCTCTCACTGTCGCGGCCTCTCCCGTTGTGGAGCACGGGCTCCAGACGCGCAAGCTCAGTAGTTGTGGCTCACGGGCTTAGTTGCTCCGCGGCATGTGGGATCTTCCCAGACCAGGGCTCGAACCCGTGTTTCCTGCATTGGCAGGCAGACTCCCAACCACTGCGCCACCAGGGAAGCCCGGGGTTGCCAACTTTGCAAGATTCCCCTCCACAGTTTCCTCCTGCACAACCAGGGCTCATCCTGTATTTTCATCTCTGTTTCTTTTCTCGTACTCCTCCAAACCCTCTAGCTTATATCTGTCCAAAACAGACAGCTCAGACCTTTCTCCCTACCCTCTTCTCTATCCTGTTTTCACTGGTTTCCCAATTAAGAGTGGAACTGAGTAGGTCTGATATCCACCCAAGCTGGAAAGAGATACCACTGGAAAATAACTTCCTCACCTATTTAACAGCACAATTGCCACAGCTGAGACGGAGGTGGAGGCCTGGAGCGCTGGCCCCGGTCTCTTGGCCGGGTCATTCTGGCCCTTACAACACCCGTGTGGCCAGCTGTACCAGCCTAAGAGCAGGGGCCCCGGCCTAGGAGTCAGGACACGCACGTGTCTGCTGGCTTCAGACGAGCCTCAGCGTAGTGGCCAATGGGAACAACAGCCCTGCCTCTTCTGCCTTCTGGAGGGGTATCACGAGGATGAATAAAACATAATGGATTGCATTCCGTCGCTCAGAACACAGTTCCTGAAGCTACCATTTAGTCTGACTCTGGGGTCTAAGGGTCATAAGCCTTCAAAGAAAAACTCCTCTGAGGTTTATACAAAAGAGCAGGAATTCTTCTTGCTGTCAACGCGGAAGCAAGGCCATAGTACACCTATGGAATTCTTTGGGACACCAGCAATGCCCTTTGCTTATCTTATATCACGTTTCTGATGTGAGGCATAGAGGGTTAATTATGGAGACGGTAGGGGAAAGCGTATTTCTGCAGACAGTGGCTTATAGAGGAAGAATCAGAGGGTGATGGTGGTAGTGTTCTTTTCTTTTCTTTTTTTTTTTTTTTTTTCACAGCCTAGACAGCAATGAATTCAGGTAAGTGAGCCTAAATGCCTCTGGAGTCTGACCAGAGCTGATACTCTCCACTACGAAGAATGAAGCCTGAGGCCATTCACTAAAGCTCCCACTTCAACACACAATACAGACCAAAGCCCAGCCTCCCCTCAGCTGCAATGTTTTTTTTTTTTTTTTTTTTTTTTTTTTTTTTGTCACAGCCTAGACAGCAATGAATTCAGGTAAGTGAGCCTAAATGCCTCTGGAGTCTGACCAGAGCTGATACTCTCCACTACGAAGAATGAAGCCTGAGGCCATTCACTAAAGCTCCCACTTCAACACACAATACAGACCAAAGCCCAGCCTCCCCTCAGCTGCAACTAAACCTCAACGCTTCCTTCTCCTCCCAGAAGGTGTGAACATTCCGTCTCTAGGACAGGCCACTCCGTCACCCTAGAGCCATCATCCGGTAGAGGGTTCTGGACGTGGGGCCCCCTGCACTCATTTCTGACCTCGGGACCCACCATCTTCCTGAAGCCGCCTCCAGCGCCTTGGCCTCTAGACAGCCAGGTTCACACCCCGTGCCCTGCATTCTCCCCAGCAGTTGATGGGCCAGAGTGGGGACTGCACAGAGGACCCAGTCCACGGGCCGAGCTGGGCCCATCCATTTTCTTCTTGAGAAGTTCATCTCTGGAGCACACAGATTGAACAGGTCTGACTGGACGGGGCGAACCCTGGACCTGAAAAGCCACACTGAGTTGAAGCCAGGTTCCATAAAGCCACGTGCAAATGAAGCTTCTGAGAAAGCGAAACGTCCTCCCAGGCCCACAGTGAGGAACCGGACGGATGGGCAGAGAGAAGCGGAGACAGGGGCTCACGGGACAAACAGAGAGAAAAGTGGTACAACCACGGGGCCCACCTGCATGCCCTGCACTTCGTTTCTGAGTGATCCCTGTCATTCCTATAAATCCCCTTTTTATTTATTTTTTAAATTTATTTATTTATTTTATTTTTGGCTGCGTTGGGTCTTCGTTGCTGCGCGTGGGCTTTCTCTAGTTGCGGCGAGCGGGGGTTGCTCTTCTTTGCGGTGCGTGGGTTTCTCATTGTGGTGGCATCTCTTGTCGCGGAGCATGGGCTCTAGGCGCGCAGGCTTCAGTAGCTGTGGCGCACAGGCTCAGTAGTTGTGGCTTGCGGGCTCTAGAGCGCAGGCTCAGTAGTTGTGGCGCACGGGCTTAGTTGCTCCACGGCATGTGGGATCTTCCCGGACCAGGGCTCGAACCCGTGTCCCCTGTGTTGGCAGGTGGATTCTCAACCACTGCGCCACCAGGGAAGTCCCTCCCCCTCTTTTTATTTTAGCTAGCTTGAGTGGATTCCATTCTTTGCAATCAAGACTCCCTACCAAAACACGAAACATATTGGGTGCCAATTTCATAAAAACAACCTCTAAACAGCACTCTCTTTACTTGATAGCAAGTTATTTCCACTGCCTCCCATGGCCTGTGGGAGGAGATGGAGACCGATGGGTTTCCAAAGCCTAGTGTTCCCCAAAGGCACACCTGGAACCACAGCATCATCCTCTCCCAAGGGGGCCGGCAGCCCTGCTCCTCCTCAGCATGAGCCAGGCAGCTAGAGCGCAGATGAACTGAACAGACTCCCCCATCTCCGGATTCCCTCCCAGGCCCTCCCCTCCATCACCAAACCACACACACTTCCGAAAAGAAGCACCAAGAGGCTGCTCTTCACCGCGGTTACAAAAGCAGCCACTAGACGCGTGCACTCGCCTGTCCTGCCTCCTCTTCCTCTATCATTATTTTCTACTGATAATAATGCAGTGATAATAGTAATGTAACTGGGCAGGACACTATGGGGCCTTCCTGGGACAGGCCTCCCCTGTACCCTTTGCTTTAGCTCCTCTCTGAAGGACCTACGTAACAGTATTTGATGCACATTTCCTGAGCCGTTTTGCAGATGCGAAACCCCCCCACCAAACGGAAGATGTTAACTACTGGATGACTGAGAACGTAGCCCCCGGCCTCCTGGAGCCCAAGGACTGATCATGTTAACCCCTGTGACACCGCCCCGTTACCTCACCATCAGCCAATTAGAGAACTGTGCACGAGCTGATCACAGACCCTGCGACCCCCGCTCCCTCACCTGGCTTTTAAAAAGGCTTTGCTGAAACCCTTCTGGGAGCTCGGGGGCTTTTTCGAGCACGAGCCACCCATCCCCTTGCATGGCCCTGCAATAAACCTTTCTCTGCTCCAAACTCCAACATTTGCGTTTGGCCTCACGGTGCATCGGGCACATGAACTTGCGCTAACAATAATAGCATTAAACCAGCAAACAGAATTGAACCCACAATACCCCCGCGGACTGTGGTTCCCTTTTTCTAGAGTCTGCTCAGTCTTCAATGCGCAAGAATAAAGCTCCCCAAGCACACAGAGGCCTTAGGGGCAGGCCTCCAAAAGAAGAATTACAAACTGGACTGGGGGTTTCAAACCCCCAAGTTATACCTCAAATTATAAACATGGCTCAACTTCTGGACCCCAAATGATAAACCTGGTCTGAAAACTCACCAACCTGTGTAGAAACACTACAGTACACTGACACGGGGACCATCTCAGAAAATTCAGGACATATGTCTGTACTAGGTGTAGGCTAAGGAGACGTCTGAAAAGGGCAGAGATAGATAGGGGGAAAAAATCAAGCCCTGTTTTCTAGGCAATTAATCCACATCTCTGCTTAGCCCAACTTCCCAGCCCTGTGGACTCAAGACCGCACAGCAGACACGCCTGTCAGCCAAGAACTGATCACAGAAGGATGACAGCAATCCTTTCCTCATGCTTCTTTCCTTCACCTAGCCCCACTCCCGTCCTTGCCCCTCCCCTCTGGCCTTGAACCAGAGGTTCCTAAAGGGGCTTTCTTGCCTATCCCTGGGATCCCCTCCCCTACTTCCCTCCCCTATTCCTCCCCCTTACCGGCCCGCAGCTGTCTCCACAGGGCTTCTGAGAGCACTGGGCCACACGCAGGCCCATCACGGCATCCTCCAGGTCCGTGCAGGTGCACACGTCACAGCCCTCCTCCCAGAACTGGCCCACGGGGTAGATGGTGCCTTGGTGGACACACACCTGTAGACACAAGGTTTCCGAGAGTGAAGTGACTCAGTTCATCTAAACAAGAGGTGAGTAAGCGTCTATGGCATGTTGGAAGCTACTCTAGGTGCTGAGACTACAGCAATAAATGAAAGCAGCAGTCTCTGCCCACCTGCCCAGGCGAAAGGATGCTTACATTGTAGAGTTCGCCCTCTTCCCTCCCCTGCCCACCTGCCTTAGGAAGGTTCACCCTGGGAGTGGCTCCTTTTGAGTCCTTTGAGGCCCTCAAGTGGGGATATAACACACTGGCCGCCTTGACCCACTATCACTGCTGCCTTAACTGCATTTAACTCCTTCCTGTGTCACACGGAAAGCTGCACCCTAATTCTCAGGCCCAGTAATGTCCTTGAACTTGGAACCCACCCACGTTTAGCCCTCTGTCCCATTAGGAGTGGCTGAAGGTGAGGGAAGGGTGGGCAGGGGTTATGAATGAGTGTTCCCTTGATGCCCACCAATGACAAGGAATGTATCAAGAGAAGACAGAGCGTGAGATGTGTTTGAGAGACAAGGGATCCTGTTTGGAAGAACTGTAGGCTATGGAAGGAATGTGGGACATGAGATCCCAACGGCTGGTTACAATTAGAATCGTAAAGCCTGGGATGCACGTGATATACAACGCTCAGACTTTATTTTCTAGGAATGAGGTACTAAAGAAACTCTTGGATCATGAGGCTTAGAGGCAGGTTTTAAATTATCCCAAGTGTGTCCTCTGAAGCTACAAACAGGTCTCCACGTTTATTCACATAGTAACAGTACACATTTTTTAAACTATTTTCCCATACCTGCTCAGTCTTTCCGCTTTTGTACAATGAACTCAGTGAATGAGACCCCTGGTTCTTTGATTAAGAAGCCCCCCTAAAAAATGTTACCACCCAGAATCCCACTTCTAGGAATCTATCCCAAAAGACACTCTGGCAAAAATACAAAATGACAGATGCACAAGGCTGTTACAGCATTACTAGTAATAGCAAAAGATTGAAGCCACTCAACTGTGAATCGATATGACTGAACTAAGATGCATCCTTGCAATAGATTACTAAGCTGTGAAAAGGAGTAAGGCAGATCTCCATATACTGACAGAGGATAATTCTACTATAAATTGTTAGATGAAAAAATTCACATTCAAAACAGCATTTATAATATGCTACCCTTTTGGTGAAAAATAAGAAGCAACATAAATTTATAAAATTTGCTTATATTTTCAAAAAGAAAAATAGATGGGTACACCAATGAAAATGATAAATTACGAAGGGAGAGAAGGAACGAGGTAGTGAAAGTGAGGGTAGAGGTGAGATTTCTGGGAGTGCATCTTGTTTTGTAATTTAGGTTTTAGAATCATTCATGCGTTTCAAATCATCTATGGCACCCAGCCATGCTCAGAACATGGTAGCATCTCTGTAAGTACCTCCTGAGCTAGTTAGATTTAGGCTGAGATGGAATGCTGATGCCCCTTCAATGGGCCACACAGCACTCGTGTGGGCAGGAAGGCAAGTCTTCCACAGGAGGATGTGTCTGGCCGTTGCCCCAGCTGGAGCCGAGCAGCCCCTACCTTATCAGGGAGGCAGGTGGTGGTGGTGCAGCCGCAGTCATTGGTGACGGTGGAGGCCAGGTACCCCAGTGGGCAGGTCACCGCCGAGCTGGTACAGTTGCAAACACACTTATACTCATCACAGCACTGGGTCTTCTGAAGGACTGGCGTCCGGTGCGGGGGACAGGAGGGCAGGGACCCCCTTGGGCATTCCTCCTTCCTGCAGGCTGAGGGGCAGCACGAGGTGATGCCCCGGTCCTGCCACACTGAGCGCTGCACTCAGCCTGGGTTCCTAAGCATTCAGCTACTATATAAGGTCCCAGGGAACTCTAGCCCCAGAATATTAAGTCAGAAACACACGTGAGCCCAGCTCAGGAGCTGAGGGATAGTCAATCATACCAAAAAGTGGTTAGTCTGCAGAAAAATAAGAAAACTAACCCAAAGGAGAAATGTGAAGCTATTTGAATGGAGAAGCTAAGGATGCTATAGGCTCCCCCACCTTCCCGGGCACATCTGGAAGGGGTGGGGTCCCTCCAGCTGCAGATACTCAGAGATGACTGGCGTAGAATCTCTAAGACCCAGAGAGCCCTGGGCACATAGGTACTGGTTAGCATTTTTATAAGCTGGTAGCTTATGAGATCCTATCCCCAACCTCAGTACCTGGAATAATAAATGACCTACAGTTTTAGGTCCTCCAACAATGATGAATGAAAAATGACAGCAATCTTGTCAAATCCACAATGCCCTTTTATCACTGCCAAATCCCATCCCATGCCTTTGCCTGTCCCCAGCTTTCTGCAGATACAATGTGTTCTCCCACACTCGAGGGCTTTCATCTCAGAACTCGAGTGAGATTCTCAGTCAACAGGATGAGAAATGGGTAGTGACTTAAGGTGGGTATTCTCAGTAACTAAATACAGAATTCAGCTTCTTGACATGTCCAGAAACTGTCTTTAGTCCAGCCCTATGCTTAAATTGTAGTATTTAGAAATTAAATACATAAGCATACAGAGGAAGAAAAATCTATAAATTTATTTGGGAATAAGATCCAGTGATTTGAACAAACCAAAGGTACATTCCTTCCCCTCCATGGCCTATGGGAGGGTGGGAGAGAGTAAAGATTAGATCTGGAGGCTTCTTCATCTCAGGCCCAAATCCCACCTCATAAGCCCAAAAGGGGGATGCCTGCAGCCGTGTCCACACCCCGTTCCCCATCGTAGCCTCGGCTGGGAGGAGTCTTAGGGGATTCAGTCCACGCGTGACCTTGACCCCTCTGTTCTAGACACGCCCCAAGCCCAGACTCAGCTCCCTAGAATACAGGATGCCTCCCCAGACCAGGGGACAGTAACCGCACCGCCCGTCCTCACCCACGGAGGGAGAACTTACAGCAGGTGAAGTTGGGTCTGCACTCGCCAGGGTTGGTCAGTGTAGGCTGGAGGCCACCTTCACAGTGAGGCACCGGGGGCAGGTCACAGCTCACCAGGTCGCACACTGAGGGCCCAGAGAGAGACGTGCACTCAGAATTCAGCGAGGCCACTCTTGTGCTAGTGAGTAGCTCCCTACACTACATTCCTACTCACGCAGACCTTCACTGTTTCACATATGTGATGATGATGAGATGAAGGCAGAGCTAGAGATGGAGATAGAGGAAAAGATACAGGAAGATGAAAAGATAGGGGAAGAGATGGAGATAGAGATGGAGATACACGGACAGGGAGGGGGCGGGGGGAGGTGATGATAGATAGACAGACAGATAGACGATAGATAAATAGATAGATCATAGATACACATATAGATACATAGGTAGATCGGAAAATAGATAGATAGATAATAGATAGATGATAGATACACAGATGATAGATCGATAGATAGATAGATGGACAGTAGATAGATAATAGATAGAAAGATGATAGGTAGATAGATAGATAGTAAATAGATAATAGAACAGTAGTCAGATAGGAAGGTAGATAGACAGATAGATAGATACAAGCCATAGGACAAACTCATGTTGATTACTCTTGTCATCTGCAGGGACTCCAGATCTCGGCCAATCACTTGAACCCTCTAGACCTCAGGATCATCTTCTGTAAGGTGGGCAGTCTACCTCACAGGGTCGGTCTATTGATGTCTTGAAATAATGAAGGCAAAGTGCCTGGCACGTTGGAGAAGCTTCAAAATGTCCATAAAATGAGGGCTTTGAACTAAATGACCCCCAGTTCCCTCCACTGTTAACATCCTAAGACCTATTTTTACTAAATTGTTCTCCAGTCAGATTCGCCCCTCACTCCCACCCCGCCACATAAGCCTTCTCTTTATCCCTGATAAATTTCATCAGCCTAAAGCAATGTCTCAGATGATTTCTTTTTTAGATCCTCAGACTGTCTTGATCTATCTGCTCTCCCTCAAAGGTTTCATCGCCTCAAACTTCACAAGCCTGTGCTTTATGTCTTCATCTGTACAATTAATAAACGCCTGCGACAGGACGGGGACAAAGCACTAGAGACTTCCTGCCGTGTTACTCAGAATTCCATCAGCTCCGGATTCATTTAATTATACCGTTATTCAGCCCATTATTCACGATGCAGGTTGCAGGCCTATAATGAAACCCTTTGACGAATAACGTGTTGAAGTCAAGGTGCCCACGTGTGGCCTTTTCTACAGTCACTCTGGCATAACTGGCTCTGCAGTAAATCCCTTGCACCTCCCCCACCAGTGATTACACCATTCTTTCATTTTTGAGGTATGGTTGATAACAATATTACGTGTTTCAGGTGTACAGCACAGCAATTCACAATTTTTAAAGGTTATACTCCGTTTATAGTTGTTATAAAATATTGGCTATATTCCCTGTGCTGTACAATATACCCTTGTAGCTTATTTATTTTATACACAGTAGTTTGTACCTCTTACTCCCCTGCCCCTATCTTGCCCCTCCCCCCTTCCCTCTCCCTACTGGTAACCACTAGTTTGTCCTCTATATCTGTGAGTCTGTTTCTTTTTTGTTATATTCACCAGTTTGTTGTATTTTCAGATTCCACATATAAGTGATATCATACAGCATTTGCCTTTCTCTGACTTATTTCACTAAGCATAATACCCTCCAAGTCCATCCATGTCGCTGCAAGTGGCAAAATCTTATTCCTTTTCATGCCTGAGTAGTATTCCATTGCATGTATGTACCACATCTTCTTTATCCATTCATCTCTTTTGTGGGGTTTTTTTCCTATTTTTTGGCCATGCCACGCGGCACTCGGGATCTTAGTTCCCCAACAAGGGATCGAACCTGTGCCCCCCACAGTGGAAGCATGGAGTCTTAACCACTGGACCACCAGGGAATTCCCTATCCACTCATCTGTTGATGGTCGCTTAGGTTGCTTCCATATCTTGGCTGTTGCAAATAATGTTGCTGTGAACATTGCACCCCATTCTTTTTTAATGCCTTCAAAACTCAATTTAATAAGTCACAGCAGAATCTTTCTAAGAAACAAATCCTATTTTCCAGAGGCTACTCTTTCCAGGTTTTGGAAAATCCACACCCTGCTCCTGACCACGAGCCCCTTCAGCACCACGACCTTGGCCCCCTCTCCCCAGGGCGGGGCTGGGGTTGGACCCCAAGAAATGCCACGGGTAACACATACCACACTCGTACTCGGGGCAGCACTGCTGCGTGCTCTGCCGGAGACGGGCCACCTCGCACGGGCCGCACGCAGGCGCTGGGGGAGAAGAGGCCACAGAGGTCAGAGAAAGAGACACAGCGGTGCCCACTGCAGACTCTCGGCCGCGGGAACCGGCCAGGCCGGCTGACGGATGAGTCTCCCGGTGTGTCCTGCTGTCCCCTCAGATGCGCCCTCGGGAGAACGAGGCTGAGGGCCAAGGAGGGGACAGCAGGGCAGGCGCGCGCGCGCGCGCACACACACACACACACACACACACACACACACACACACACACACGAGAGCTCTACTCCCATGCAGAAAGGGGAGCCCAGCCCAGCGAGGCAAGGAAGGTGGGGCTGGCATGGGGAATCGACGTGTGGATCTGGTCCACCAGGTCTGAAGACAGGGTGGCCTCGGGGCCTGAAGGGAGCCCTTAGGGAGGTGCCTCACCTCTGGCTGTGGGGCAGGGCTGTGTCGTGCAGTTGACCTTCCGCCCGCTGAGGCACGTGCAGATCTGGCAGGGCTGGTGGTCTGGGACCCACGTTTCCAGAAGCTGAGGGAGAACGAGGTTCAGAGAGGGCCCAGGAGTTCATGGAAGTTGGGTCCCCCCACCCCTGGCTCGGTCTCCCTGGGGGACACCCAGTGCCCAAGCCCCGCCTGGGTCAGAGCTGCGCAGATGAATCAAGACAAGCTGACAGATGCTGAGGACCCCGAGGAGGAGGGAGCTGGAGAGGCCTGGGGTGCCTGGGGCACCCACACTGCTTCGTACACTCGGGGGAAGGGCAAGCCCCAGGTCTCAGAAAACATGGAGCTTTCATCACAGCCCTTCTGATGGTGACGCTAAAACAAAGCAAGGCGAGAAAATGAGGACTCCTGTGTCACCCCGCCGGCCACTTCCCAGGCCAAAGGAGAAGCTGGGCTGCAGCTTGAGAAAGATGCCACTCATTTCTGCAATGGACTTAAGACTATGTGGCAGGAAGAGCTGAAGAGGGGACAGCAGAACTCTCAGAATGCTCACATTGTTGGCACTGGTGGTGACGTTCCAGACCAGGGTGCAGTTTCCAGGTGAGGGTCACCAGGGCAGCAGGCATCCCCACTGCACAAGGGCTTCAGAGTCAGGAAGCCCCCCAACTCCTACGTCGGTTGGCTTCACCCTCCGTGCCACTGCCCGGTTTCCTCCCAGGCAAGGGGAGGGCCCCCCAGCCTGCCTCCCAGGACTGTGCAAGAAGCAGGAGGCTGTGAAGAGCACAGATGGGACTGCAGAGCCAGGACTGGGTCCCTTTGGGCTCGGCCGTCAAGGGAAATCCCAGTGAAGTCACCCCTGAATAAACGCATCCTTATCCAGCAGCTCAAAGGGCGCTAAAAAGTCCCCAGGTCAAGAAGGTCTTACTTATTCCGTCTGCTTCCGTGGTCCGCAATGAGCATCTGCCGCGGAAAGGGAGAGAGATGGGACATCTCCGGGTAAACCCCTCCCCGGCCTGCCCGGCCTCCTGCGGGATTAAACCTTGGATGCTTCCCTTGACACCTTCTGCTGCATCCATGTAACAGCCCACATCTCAGGGGCAAGTGGCACGTGGCACGGTTTAAGGGCTTTACGTAAACTACTCATTTAATCCTCATTTAATCCTCACCGCAGCCCCATGACCGGGACATTCTTAGTTATCCCCACTTGTCCAAGGAGAAAGCGGAGGCACTTGCTCGGGGTCACACCGTCGCAGTGCAGAGATGGGATCTGGACCCAGAATCCACTTATTATCACTGTGTTCTGCTGCCTCCCGGTAATAAGTAGCATTAAACACGTTCAAGATATTTCCCCAAAGGCTTTACACTGACTCATCGTATGTTCCTTCTAGTAACCCTAGCAGGTGAGTATGACCATTACTTACACTGACCAGTGAGAACACTGAGGCACAGACCAGGAGCTCGACCAGGTGGCACAGCCAGGGTCTGGACCCAGCGTCCTGGCCCTGCACACCACATGCTCTCTCTCCAAACCACAGCCGCCAGGCTCAGCCAGCCCACTGAGGGGCTGTGGGAGTGCCAGGCACTGGGTCCACTGTCCCAGCCCTCGAATGGCTGACGGTCAAGCCGAGGAAATAGGACTTGCCCGTGAAAAGGTGAATGAGATCACTCAATTTTGATGCATCCACACCACGGAATACTACTCAGCCATAAAAACAAACTATGGAACGTACAGTGTGGATGGATCTCGAGAGTATTACGTTAAGCAAAAGAAGCCAAGCAAAAATGGAGTAATACTGCATGAGTCCATTTACATAAAATTCCAGAAAATGTAAATGGATCTATAGAGACAGAAAGCAGACCAGTTGCTGCTTGGGGATGGAGGTGGGGACTGGGGGTGTATTAAACAGGGGCATCAGGGAACTTCTGCAGGTGATGGAAATTTCATTATCTTCATCGTGATGATGGTTTTTACAGGTGAATGCACTTGTCAAAATTCATCAGATCGTACATTTATATTTGGTGCTGTTTACTGTCTGTGAACTCTCCATAAAGGTGATTTTTAAAATAAAAAAAGAGTGTCAGGAGTGCAAAAGAAGAGTTCACTAGGGCTGTGGGCTCCAGAGAGGCCTCACATCCCTGGGGACGTGGCCACTGCAGGAGGCTGTGCTTAACCTGGCGGGCAGGGTGCAGCTCTGAGGCTCTGTAAGCAGGACCCGCCTCAGAGGGAAGAAAGTTCAACAAGGACAAGCCTTGAGCGGGTGCCAGCGAGTGGGTGGAGAAGGGGGGGACGAGGACCGGGAAACAGAACAGAGGCTGCAGCGGCTACTATTCCAACTTCTCCAAGGGGCTGGGAAGACCCAGGGAGGGGCACAGGGACAGGCGAGGCTGGGCAGAGCGGAGGAAGGCGGGGGAACTCACACATCTCCCCAGGTCTCTCTCTGCTCTGCCTCTTTCCTGCTCTTTTACACGGATGGTGATGCCAAGAAAACCATAAATCAAGGGATTTATATTTAGACGTTTAAACGGCAAAAGTGATGAGATAAGAATGGAGATGTATATTTATATATCAGGGGTTTCTTTTCTCTCTCTCTCTTTTTTTTTTTTTTTTGGTTGCACTGGGTCTTAGTTGCAGCATGCAAACTCCTTAGTTGTGGCATGCGAACTCTTAGTTGCAGCATGCACGTGGGGTCTAGTTCCGTGATCAGGAATCGAACCCGGACCCCCTGCATTGGGAGCGCAGAGTCTTTTACACTGAGCCACCAGGGAAGTCCCTTTTTTTCTCTTTTTAAAAATGAACTCCAGACATCTAAAATTCAAGAACGAATTATACAGCTTTCCAACTCTCCTTGGCAACATCACGATAGATGACCAAAAGCAGGTGTTAAACGTCCTCTTCCAGGGATTTCCATTTTCCCAGGAAGCTTTAATGAGGCAGGTCACAGAATCTATGGCACTGAAAAAGAGCCCTGTCTGGCAAAGGCTAAGCTTCTAAAAGTGCCCGCGGCCAGCCTTACAGCAGTACACCTGGCGCATTATGCAGCCAATCGGCCAGCAGAGGGCACTCCTGCATCAGGACAGGCCAACTCCAGGCAGCCCTGTCTCAGCCCCCAGGTTCCAGGGCCTGATGCAGGACTGTTACCGGGACAGAACAGGTAAGCGAGCTGGCTGGAGTTAAAGATTAAATAAAGATGACTGGAGAACGACCTGCAGAGAATGCAGCAAGGGATAACTGAAGCCTTCAGAGCCCAAGGTCAAAGCAGGTACTCAGGTACAGGTACAAAGCAAGTCACCAGGCACCGCCCACCCCCGCCAGGATTTGAGGGAAGATGCAAATTAAATGTCAGCGCTGAGCCGCTACAGAACAGAGAGGAGACGAGGCTCAGCAGACCTTCTGGGTGATGCAGGCAATCCCCAGTGGAGCTGAAGCAGCGATTGCCCAGCACAGCGGGGGGTGTATGCGCAAGGCGGGGCAGCCCATGCATGGCCCCAGATCCCTTTAGAGCTGGCTACAAAGGCAGAGTGCATTTTGTAAAATAAACAAGAGCTATGGAAACTGGTAAATAGTTTGCCCTTCCAACATCACCACAAGAGATTTCTACCCTGGATTATTTCCCCGAAGAAAAGTTTTCTGGGCTTTATTTTTCAGTTTCAAGAAAATTCACTTAATGAAAATGTTCTTCATATAAGATTTTTATTCCCTCTCTACTCTGAAGGTCAGCGCTGGACTGGCTGGATATTTGTCTTCATCCGTTTAAACTATATTTTCTGAAATAACTAAAAACGGCTGTGTTCCCTTCATAGTTTTTTTATTAACTAATTTTATGTCGCTTGATTTTAAAATGTATTTATCAGACTGTATCTATGTCAAAATACTGCACTATGTGGATGCCCTCTTCATACAACTCTGATGCATATTCCAGTGTGTGGGACTGAAGGGGCAGCAAGCAGGGGAAAGGGTCAGAGAGGAGGAGGGGGGAAGGGGGCAGAGACCATTTCTGACTGCCTCTGAGAGCACCTTGCCACCAAGGGCAAAACCAGCCTGAAATGACCACTGGGTGTCAGCACCCCAGGGCAATGGTACACGTCATCTGCGCCCAGCGGGAGCCCAGGAGCTGTGCAAGTCAGGGAGAGCGATGTAAGGTTTTGTCAACTCTTTGGGGAACATTATGGTACAGGCAGTTACTTAACTTGGCCAGCTGAAATATGGCAGTAGAGTGCGACTGGGCTTCTTTCCTGGTTTACCTATTACACTGTGAGAACAAACGGGATCCACTAGGCTAAAGCCCAGCAACAGAACAGAGCCAGTGGGACCATCCAGGTAATCGCCTTATTGGTGCCATGCTTACATGGACACCCAGTCAGCTCAGAGTTTAGCTCACAGTTCCCGTGAGACTGATGGCAGGGCTTGGACACTATAGGGTGACGTGGTGTAGTGCATAGGGTCTTTTTAAATCACCTCTTGTCATCTGAGCCTCAGTTTCCCAGTCAGAGGGACATGTAATAATTACCTTATGGAGCTGTGGAGAGAATCAAATGAAATGGTCCATTTCCTAGCTTCTGATGGCAGGGACAGAATAGTGTAATCCTGGACTGTTCTCATCATTCTCCAGCTGGTTAGCTAGCTTCACCATGTGTTCTCCCAGTTCTGATTAAATACAGTGTTAAGTCACCTGACCTGGTCCACTTAGTGATGAAGGTCTTCCTTGGTGATGATGGAGATGTTAGGTCTTGAGTGCAGCCCATGATCACAGAACACATCCTCCTTTGCTAGAAGCCAAATGTGCTCCCCCTCTACCAGGCTCTGTGGTATCGCTGCCAGTTTGAAAGGCAGGACCACTGCCCACACTCACAGGTCCACAGACACACACCGCCCCAGGTACTACAATACACACATTGGCAACTTTGAAGAGATATGACTGCCATCTGAGTCCAAGATGAGGGAGTTTGGTAAATAAATAGCCTTTCAAAATAATGATTCCTAAAAGGCTAAGAGAACTGATGACTTGATGACTCACTGACTTCCAAGAAAATCAGCCCAAAGGGGACCTAGCAAAAGGGAAACTTCATGTATCGAAAAGAGCAAAAGTTCTTTGGAATCAGACAGAGCTTCAAATACTAACTCCAACTCCCAACCCCATCTGCTCCGAACTGCATCCATGGGCAAGGTACCAAGCTCTCTAAGCCTTCATTTTCTCATAGGTGTTTTGTGAGTATTTAGGAGAGGGGATGCTACACACACACACACACACACACACACACACACACACACACACACACACACAATTCTATAGTCTAATAAGTCTGAGAAGCAAAAACTTGCAAGGTACATTAGCATATCAAAAGCTCTAAAGAATCCTGCAATAAAGAAACCTGTCTAACTTGCTTAGCCGGTGTTTTTTAAAACCTCTGGACCACAGGTAACTGTCAATACCTTGCCTGCTAAACACACCTTTGAAAAACGTTGAAATAATGAATATATAGTGCTTAGTACAATGTAAGGTACCTAATGTATCTTAATAACGGTAGACATCACCATATAAAATATTCTTTCCCCATTCCCTCCTGGGTTCCTAGCATTCTACTAAAATGGATATGATAAATATAGTAATGGTAGTAATGTGCTGTTACACTCTGGTGTTTGATCACACAGCTAACCCATGACAGATCCGGGTTTTGAACCAAGATGTGTCTGACTCCAAAGCCATTATGCCGTACTGTCTTCCCATCCCTCAGGGACCCCCCTGGAGAGCAGAGCCCTGCAGCCAAGGTTAGAAGGGGCCAATCACGGGTGAACACTTCCCCCTACTGGCCCCATGGGGGTGGGGGCGAGAGGCCAGGGTTCCTACCTGGTGCCGGATCCCATCGTCACTGACGCACTGGGTGCAGGCCTCCTCGGGGACACAGCTGCCTTCCAGCAGCACTTGGTGCAGGGGGCAGAAGCAGCCTTCTGAGGGATGGTCCCCACAGGAGCTCGAGTTGCCCTCACATTGGCGGGGGCAGCCGCGCTCACAGTGGTTGTAGACCAGGGATGGCGGGCACGGCACAGCTGCAGACAGAGAAGGGGGTCACCCTCAAGGGTCTGCACCAACCAGAGGGAAGTGGTTCAGCTTCAAGACAGTTGATCACCTGACAAACTTGCTGGGGCAGAAACTGCTAATTTCCACCAATTTTTCATTCTCTCCATCTTTCATAGAAATAGACCTTCAAGCCAGGCACGTGACCACTCGGAATAAAGACTACATTTCCCAACCTCCCTTGCAACTAAGTGCAGTCATGTGATTACATTCTGACCAATGACCTGTAAGAGCAAGGGTAGACTCTTAACAGCAGTTTCTAAGAATCATTTTTTGAAAGACAGCTGCGTCTCTGGCCCTTTTCCTTCCTTCCCCTCATCCCACCACTTGGAACCTGGATGTGATGGCCAGAGCTCCATCTTAAACCGTGAGGAAAAAGCACACCCAACTGAGGACGGATCAAAGAACTAGAATCCACTTCGGGACCCAGAAAGAGCTGGGACTGCCTCCCTCTGATCAGCTGTGTGACACAGAATTTTACTTCTCTCTTACTTGTAGCCAAATTTAATCCCAACTGACGATGTGAACCTGTGTATCCTTAGGAAGTTCTATGGTTCTTTTCTTTGAATACACATATATTTAATGCTTCGAAAATTCTCTTAAACTTAAATAAGGAGTCCACAGCTATGGAAGGCTGCCCTGGGAGAAAAGCTACAAAGTGATCCACTTCTCCCACTCTGGTCCTGCTCAACCCCTTCCTCACATTTTCACGGTGCCAAGGCAGGTGGTAGAGAAGGTTTCCAAGGATTTCGAGCACCAAAGACCTTCCTATAAATGCACGACAAATTGCCTGGAAGTAGACAAATTAATAAGCAGAGAAGGTGTGATCGGTAACTCAGAAACTAACATTTTCCCCTTAATCTGCAGGTAGGTTGAAAGGAGACTGTGTCATCCATGGGCACTCGGAAAACCAGAGCCCCAAAGACACCTGGGGGTTATCTAGACCAACTATCTCATTCCAAGATGCAGAAACTGAGGTCCAGAAAGACTAAGGAAATAGCTGATGACCAGCTGAGCTGGGGCTAGGATGCCCAAGTCCTCCAGCCCCAGTTAAAGCTGTGACAGCATTATAATAATAAACTCGGAGACTCTGAGATGCCTGTACACATTGAGTTCCCTCAAAAAAAAAAAAAAAAAAAAAGCGGTGAGGGATTACATAAGACACTGAGGATGCTGAAGTTCAGTGTTCTTATCACTCCAACACCCCCTGAGAGCAGGAGCCATGTCTGATTCATTTTGGTGTCCCTGACATGTTAAATATTAAATACATGCCAAGTCCAAGTAAGGAAGCTGACCTTGGGAGGTGTCTACACTAGCAATCCTGTGGTGTTTGTAATGAATAAGCTTCTTGGTATTCAAATGGCAAAATTCCACTCACGCTTCAAAATCCTGTTCAGGCATGGGCTGCTCTGTGAGCCTTTGCTAAAGCTTGGTGCAATTCCCAATTCAAGGTGACTGCTTAGTCTGTACTTTGCTGTTGCCTGGATGTGTCTAATACATTAAAATCACATTTGTATGAACTGCAGAACTACCGCCAGAAAGGACCATGCTTTCATTTACATAGAAATTCATTACATAGAAATTCTATGTTCAAATTACTTATACGTCTACCATCTTATTTGATCCTGAATGGAATCCTAGGAAACAGGAAATCCAGAGGTTTTGATCTTCGTTGCCTAGAAAAAGAATGTGAGGCCCAGAGAGGCTGAGCAGGTCCCCCACTCGTTGGTCTTCACAGCGTTTGGGGGTGCCTAAGGAGACTCACCACAGAAATCGGGGGTCCTCCAGTCGACACACACCCCCTTGGTCCGACAGAGGTGGGCATAAGAGGCAATGGCCTCACACACTTGCTCCTGGTGGCAACTGTCCTGCTGGCAGATGGCGTGAAATGTGTCCGGGGCAAGGACCGCGTGGCACTCTGCAAACAGTGCCGAGAGGAGGACCTGGCAGTGGGAGCCCCTGGAGATGGGACATGGCTCCTCGGGACCCAGCAGGCATGTCTGCCCTGGCTTCTGCACCGTCCACTCCTGGACCAGCGTCTTCCAGTCTGAGGTGACTGTGCCATCCCTCAGCATGAAGTCATTGGCCCCATTCTCATCACAGATGCCTAGAGAGGCAAGGAAAGACATGGTTAGGAGCCCAGGGTGCCAACCCCTTGATGCCGGAGACCGGGCCATTCTCCATCACCGCCAGCGTCTGAACCTTACTACTGGGCCCAGAAATAGCAGTGGCCAAGGGCCCTGAGGATAGAGCGAGGAGGGCTTATGTCAGGGAGAAGAGTTAGAAGATATTCTTACCACAGAGACCGTACATCTTTGAGGCAAAGGTCTTGGGGCTCAGCTGCAGCTGGAACTCGTTGTTTTGTGGGGTGAAGGTGAGGATGTGGCCCAGATGGTTGAGTCTGACCTCATACATAATGGCACCATAGACACTGACCTCCATGTCCCCACCCACGTAAGGGGCAGAGACCAGCCTCCCATTCACCACCACCTGCCCAAAGAAGAAAACCACCCATCAGTAGTCACGGCAACAAGGACTCCTAGGGTTTCACTCTTAGCCACTTTCCAAAGTTCCTGACAGTTCCTACACATTCACCCCACTCAAGTCCACTGTTATCCACAAACCCGGACATTTGCCAGCAGCTCTTCGAAGACAAAGGAGCCTTGCAGAGCTTGGCAAAAGAGTGGACTCTTATAACACTGAACAGACAGCCATGCATCTGGAACCCAAAAGCCCAGGGATTAAGAGGAAACTTGAGTCACTCTACAGGGAAGATGACTCCTCAAGAAAAGCTGGGGAAGTTGCTTACTTGCCAACTGGTCAGTGCCCTACCTCCAGGAGCATCTAATAGGACTACTTTAAGCATTTGATTTGATTTGATTGACTAGCTCTTCGGAGGCCCCACAATATATCTTATCAAACCTATTAAAATATACTCACATCCCACAATGAATATAATTTTTGCTGTAAAAATTTTAGAAGGCTTTTTATCCTTTTTTTTTTTTTTTTTTTTTTTTTTTGCGGTACACGGGCCTCTCACTGTTGTGGCCTCTCCTCACCATTGTGGCCTCTTGCGGAGCACAGGCTCCGGACACGCAGGCTCAGCGGCCGTGGCTCACGGGCCCAGCCGCTCCACGGCATGTGGGATCTTCCCGGACCGGGGCACAAACCCGTGTCCCCTGCATCGGCAGGCGGACTCTCAACCACTGCGCCACCAGGGAAGCCCGCTTTTTATCCTTTTGATTTTTATATTTTTGTCTATGAGCTACTCATATAACATATGACAAGCTGTGATTTTTCAGCAATCACTGTGCACGTTCAAGAATTCTTGCAAGAGGAGAACATCTAACCCATAAGCTGCTTTCACGAAATGAGATATTTACGATTTCTAAATGAACGTGTAAAGAAGTTGGCATAAAGCAACCTCTTGTAAACATTTAATCAAACATTTATTTTTTATCAGTTTTGCAGTTTTCTTTTTGAATCTTGGGTCCACACATTTTGTTTGGGCCCAGAATATTTTCATAGGCCCTACATATTTTCCTTTGGGAGGTTCGCAGGCCCTGGGTACAGGGCACATAATGCCTGCTGGGCAAACAGCCTGGTGTCACCCCCATTCTTCTGCCAGTGCCAGAAACTGGCACTACATTCATCACAATGTAATGCTATCAAAAATGGACCCTTTCCTCCAAATCTGGACCCAAAACAACATGAAATTACACCACAAGGGCGATAGCAATGAGCCCCTCCTACAAAGGTGGCACTCTGCTCACAGGGTAGGAGGCCGAGTCCCCAACAGGGGCACCAGCTAAAACCGGCTGCCACCGGGTCCATGTGGCTTCCCCAAGGGTCTGCCGCTGCCACGCTACAGGACTCACAGAAAGCACCTCCTACCTCCATGTTGCTGCGGAGCTCAACCGAGACACCGTTATGTTTCACCTCGATGGACTTCATGCAGGCCTGCCTTGCCCTGGCGCTGCAGGCGTCATTATGGAGCAGTACCTCCAGGTCTTGCTCCTTGTTGTGAAATAAGACATATGAGCAGTTGCCAGTCAGCTTGAAATTCTGTCCATCAAAGGTCACGATGTGCCGAGTAGAGCTGCCAGTGCAGACACCTGGACGGAGAGAGCAAAGGATGGATATGACCTGCCCAGACTTCCTCTCCTATCTCCTCTGCTCTCTTTGGACTGACAGGGAGACTTGCGAGTACATCTTTCCATAGACTTCTGACATTGAAAACCATGTTAATGCTTCACATACGGAAAACAAAGAGAATCAGCTAGGATGGCAGTAAGGAAAATTCAAAATGGAATACAAACAGATACAATTAAAAGAATAATGTAGGTAATGAATAACGTAAGCACACAGCAGGGAGGAGGGAAACCAGCCTAAATAACTTTGGGGAAAAACTTACTATATACCCAAAGGCTAAAGACAGAAAGAATTGTGCACAAATGTGTACTCTAGTTAGTAGATTTGTTTTTCATAAAGGTATCGGTTAGCAGTTCTGAAACTACTTTACGTGTATTCGGTGTAGGGTCTACAGAGGAATGATGGCCCAGGGTTGTTCTAAAAGTGATCCTGGGCTTCCCTCGTGGCGCGGTAGTTGAGAGTCCGCCTGCCGATGCAGGGGACACGGGTTCGTGCCCCGGTCCAGGAAGATCCCACATGCCGCGGAGCGGCTGGGCCCGTGAGCCATGGCCGCTGAGCCTGCGCGTCCAGAGCCTGTGCTCCGGCAACGGGAGAGGCCGCAACAGTGAGAGGCCCGCGTACCGCAAAAACAGAAAAAAAAAAAGTGATCCTAAGAGAACTTCTGCTACACAGTAAGGAGGACGTCAAAAGAGAGAGAGAGAAAGAGAGCCTATGAGAGGTTGGATGCAAAAACAAACAAATAAATAAACAAACAAAAAAATAACAAAACAAAACAAAAAACCCAGAAGGATGGCAGGGTGAAGCAGCAGACAGCGAAAGAATATAGAATATGCAACTGATATCAAAGGACCACTCCTGAGAGCCGGTAAGAAAAAGCAGCTGCCTTAAACACCTGCCAGGCCAGTGAGTGCAGGGCCTCTCACAGAAGCACCAGTCATATAAGAACTTTGAGAAGCCACTTCCAGCTCCTCCCTCTCTGGGCTCCAAGCTGGAGGGAGGCTGACTACACCCCTTTCCCAGAGGCCAGGAGCCCACACAGGGATTAAGGAGGTGTTTCAACTCTAACTCAAGTTCAAAGTCTTGATTATTACCTGCGAGTGGGCATCTAATTACCAAATTGAGACCGTGTTTTACAACTTAAAGCAACCATAGAACTCTTTATAAATAAACAGAAATAATATGAGGTCTGGTAAGAGTTCTCATCCAGGCAAAAAGGAAATTTATTCCACTCAATAAATTCTAAAGGGAGGGTGAGATACAAGATACAGTTTTGATTTCAGCCCACAAGTTGTGTCTGTTCATCATAATCAACTCGATCCATCCACTGCTGAGCAGGGATTGCCATAAGCAAACATTTCTCCCAACCGTGAAACAGAGGGCTAGCCCACCCCACAGATGAATGCTCCCCACAGGTCTGCACGTGATGGAGGTGACTACGTCCTCCTATTAAACCAGGCCACCGTGATGGTACACCCTGAATCCAATGCTCAAACACCTACAGGTATGATGGGGGAGCTTCCTGGGGGCTTCTCTCTCACTGTTGTACCTGCACTGCCTAGACCCCCTAAGGGTGACTCGTCAACAGCCAAGCTGAGCCCTGACCTCAGAAAATCAATTCTTCCTCTGGTTATGCATTATCTGGGGGAGTGCCCTCCAAAAGGCACAGGAAGGGAACAGGGAGCCCTGGGACTGAATGGAAACACATCCTGAGGTCATGAGAGGGAGGGAACATGGGTGGAGGGGGAAACGGGCTTCTGGTCTACCTCTCTGCACAGCCAAGAGAAAAGCACTGCCCCTTGAACACCATCCAAGCTGGAGAAGCAGAGGACTCACAGGGGCAGGTCCAGCGGCAGCCACAGGCCTCTTCCACCCTGATCGGGGACTGGCTGTTGGGGCAGGAAGGCCGCAACTGCTGGTCACAGTTGACCCGGTGACTATTCAGCAAGGTCTGGCCATCTGGCAGGCAGGTCACCGTGTGGCACCGATCCGGCAAGGTCCAGATGTCCCCGGGCTGCAGAGAAAGAACCAGGTTCAGGCAGGGAATGGAATGAGGCACTTCAACAACCACCAGGCAACTGACCCCCTTGGAAAACATAGAGACTAGGCCTTGGGCCTAAATGGCAAGGAGACAGGATACAGAATATAGGATTTACAGGTGGATCCACCCCAACCACAACCAAAATTAAAAAAAAAAAAAAAAGATTATAATGGTAAGAGGGAGAATTGGACCCAGACCAAAGGAGGAAAAGTTCACCAGGGGAACGAGGGCACCAAATATACATTCCTGATCTTTCCTTCAAAGTCAGTGGAAATGAACGTACCCTCCTCTCATTCCCGTCCTCATCCATGCAAACACTGATGAACCCTGAAACAGACACAAGCAAGATCTCTGTTCCCACCCACCATCCAGAAATTCCCAGCCATTCACTCGGCTACCTGGCTGGTCCTTGAAGCTGGATTAACTCTGAAAAGAATGTGAGTGGGTTTAGCAGTGAGGATGAAGGTACAGGAGATTAGGAGGACGTCATCCCGTGGTTCTTTGTGGTTAGTAGTCATTACAGTGACACACAACAGTGATAATATGGCAACAACCACAATCAATATCTCCTTGTCCTCTTTTGTATATAGATCAGTGCCTAGTGAGAGGAGGAAAATGCAGCAAGAGGCTGAAAACTTAAAAGAGATCAAGATTCCTGCCTGGAGAGCTATCATCTATCAAGAAAGGTCAATAACTGTAGCAGGTTTAGACTCACAGCTAATTACATTAGGAAAATATAGAAAACCAGGTTTTAAAAAAAGCATGTATGGTAAAAATAAAAAGTTTCTAACCTTAAATCAACTTAAACTATGGTAATTTGATGTTATATTCTCTGTTATTGTATTTCTCTTTTTTTAATCTTTTCAGTTTCGTATTTTATTGATGTATAGTTGATTCACAATATTGTGTTAGTTTCAGGTGTGCAGCAAAGGGACTGGTTTTGTTTTCAGATTATCTTCCATTATAGATTATTACAAGATATTGGATGTAATTCCTTGTGCTATACGGTAAATCCCTGTTGCTTTTCTAAAGCCCTTTATACCCATGCTGACGGTGAGTGCAGGGCATGGGGAAGAGGTCCATGATCTAAGGATGTTGGAGTTCCCTGCCTCTGTCTTCCATTTCTTTGACCAAGAGCCCTGTGCTCAAGTTAGCATGGACAGTAAGGATGGAAGGAGGTCTATACACAGAGAACTTTCTGGTAACCCCTTGGAGGTTTGCCTTACGACCTTCCACTTACAGGTCCCGGCCTATAAAACAAACTTACTTCAAGGCCAAATCTTGTATATGAGAACCTTTGAGTCTCCAGATGGGTTTGGCTGCTTTTGCTTCTGTTTTGAGGGGGATAAGAAAAACATGCCAAGACTCACCAGAGCACAGCTTGTGGAGGAAGGAATTGCCCAGGGCGACCACGGTGGGGAGGTCTTCGATCCGCTGGAGCTGCACCACGTTGGAGCTGGCCCCTGGGCCCGCCAAGATCCTCAGCTGGGCCAAGTCATACCCGTCTCCAATCCCAATGGGGAACACCACCACTCCTAGGGCGACAGAGGAGCAGGAAAGGGTCTGTGTCAGCCTTTGGTCAGGTGGGCTCAAAATGCGCTGGCCTGAAGCTACACCCAGCGTGTGCACAGAGCCCCATGTTTTCCAAACTGGCCACTCACACCGACCCTGTGAGGAGGGCATTCAGTCAATCAACAAACGTTAGTGAGCTCCTGCTCTGTGTCAGGTACTATTCTAAGCAGTGAGGATACTGTAAACCAAGCAGATCAAGTCCTGACCTCATGGAGCTTACACTGGGGAGAGACAGACAACACACACACAAGTAAGTAAATATCGAGTATTTCAGACCTGGATAAGTGCTTAGGAAAAAACAAAATGGGGTAAGGAGGATAAGAGTTACAAGGGTAGGGGTGAGGGTTATTGTTTCATACAGGATGGTTGGAGATGTGTGCGGTGAAAAGATGAAGGACAGGAGGAGCCAAGAGGACATCCCGAGCACAGAGACAGTGAGCGCAAAGGCCCTGGGGCAGAAAATTGGCTGCATAGTCCAGGGAGGCCGGAGCAGAGAAAGCGGGAGAGGGACACAGATCATGCAGAGCTTCAGAGGCCACGGGAAGGACTAAACATGTTCTCTGAATGAAATGGGAGCCAGCCGAGACTTGAGAGCAGAGGAGTGACATGCGTAAGCTGACTTCAATGTTTAAAGGGTCACTGCAGCTGCTCTGCTGATTATGAACTTCAGGGGGCAAGGATGGAAGCAGATAGAAAGCTGCTCCAGGGAGAAAGCTATTACAGTTATCCAGGTGAGAGATGATGGGGGCTTGAACTAGGAGACAGTGGTGGAGGTGGTATGCATGTGATATGGCGTGGTGGCATCCTCAGTGTATTTTGAAGACGGAACTATAGTCTGTTGATGGATTGGATGGACGTACTAGAGAAAAAGAGGAATTACGGACGCTGAGGCTTTTGACCTGAGCAACTGGAAGGATGGAACTGCCATTTTTCTAAGATGGGAAAGACTGTAAGAAGAGGAGATTTGGATGTGAGAGTCAGTAATTCAGTTTACGCTGAGTTGCCTGTTAGAACATCTAGGTGGAGATGTTCTAATTCCTAATCCAGACTGGAGATAGGAATTCTTAAGTCAATCGTGCATAAATGTATCTAGACGAATGACACAGAATGAGACCACCCAGGAGGTGAGTGTAAGAAGAGAAGAGAAAATGTCAGTCACAGGGCTTAGCCCGATGTACGTGCGTCTACAGGTGAGAAACAGCCTTTGAATGGTTCAGTGATGTGCCCTGGATCATGTCTGTTTCCTCCAGACCACAGCTGCTTCCTTTCTCGATGAAAGTCTTTCTTTGGATTCTTGATACCAAAGGAGAAAAGTCTCCATCATAAAATTACCCCAATTAGTTCTCCAGAAAGTTCTAGGTATTAGCAGTTTGCTTAAGATTAGAGCTGATTTTCTGCTAGCAGCTTTTCAGCTTTTCTAAGCTGGTTGTGTCACCCCAACGTACATCCTTTCAGGGTCCTTTTCCCTAAAATAATAGGTTTCATCAATAGGTCACATTCATTCATTTAACAAACGTTAAATGGCCACCTGTTTTGTGCATCATGCACAGACGATACAAAACTAAGCAAGATTTTGCCCATGCCTTCAAAGAATCCCTAGTTTGTGCAAGAAACAGATATATAACATAAAAACAATGTGGTTTGCACATTTTGAGTAGTTCCAATGGTACAAAAAAGGGAGTGGATAACTCTCGGGAAGACATCAGAGGAAAGACAGAGCGGGGTTTTGAAAGATGAGCCACGCTCCAGGGGGCACGGGAAGGTGTCATGTCATGTCATCCCACTCACCCAGCCCCCCGCCAGCACGACACTGCCTGCCCCGGCTCACGTGCTGTTGCTGTTCACAGCACAAGCTCTCATAAGGCACCGAGGCTCCGGCACACCTGCATCCATCCCCTTCCTAAAGCAGCAGCCTTGGTCTCCTGTCCATCCTGCACCCCCAAGCCCCTTAGGCTGGTACTGGACAGGGGCTCAGAATACAGGAAGGTCTCCGATGGCTCTCAAAGCCCCAAAATGTATCACTCTAGCCTCAGAATGGAGAGAGGCTAAGGACACCACAGGTGCGGAGGTATGACCCAGGCCTGAACGCAGAGGGAATATTTGGAGAAGTTAAAAGTTACAGTCAAGGTCTTCCCTGGTGGTGCAGTGGTTAAGAATCCACCAGCCAATGCAGGGGACACGGGTTTGATCCCTGGTCCGGGAAGATCCCACATGCCGCGGAGCAACGAAGCCCACGCGCCACAAACACTGAGCCTGCACTCTAGAGCCCTCGAGCCACAACTACTGAGCCTGCATGTCACAACTACTGAAGCCCACGTGCCTAGAGCCCGTGCTCTGCAACAAGAAAAGCCACTGCAGCGAGAAGCCCGAGCACTGCAACGAAGAGTAGCCCCCGCTCGCCGCAACTAGAGAAAGCCCGCGCACAGCAACGAAGACCCAACGCAGCCATAAATAAATAAATAAATAAAATACATTTATAAAAATAAAGTTACAGTTGAAAGCATGCAGACACATGAAGGATAAACACACATTTATTACTGCTTGGTTTCCAAATAACACAGGGATTGGGCAATTTCCCGCTGCTTGAAACCAGGCCCCATGTGGGTATTAAGTATTCAAAATCAGCCAGGACGTCGGAAAGTAACCGTCGCCCACTCTGAACCCGCTAGCAGTTTGCGGGCACAGGACTGCACCCCCGACACTTACGGTTGGATCTGGCGGCAGCGGCGGCCGCATCCACTGAGTCCGTGGAAGTGCCCATGACCAGGATGACCACCGCCTTCGAGGCTTCAGGCCTGGCACCGTGGACTTGGGATGTGACATAGCGCACCGCAAAGCCCAACGCGTTCCCTGGAAGAGAGAACGGGCCACACAGTCAGTCCTCATGCGGGGAAGGTGGGTGTGAGGCCGGCTGAGCATCCTGTCTCCAGGGGGAGCCTTAGGTCATCGAAACGGAGTAACTCAGAGACTCAGAGAGTCTCACACACAAGTGAGATCGGGAAGAGCACCTTGGCCCTTGGTTTACAGGGAAGAAAACTAAGGCCAGGGAGCCAAGGGGCCGGCCGGGGTTAACCAGTCACTTATGCCAAGAACTGGGGCCAGACGTCGCCCCTGCACCCCAGCCCGCCAGCGCGTTACCGATTTGGCTGGGGCCTCCCTCCTGCTGCATGTGGTCCACGAGGCTCAGTAAGTGGGTTTTCTCCAGGGGCACAGTCCACGGCACGTCGATGGTGGTGATTCTTCCATACTGCAGCACCGACACCTGGGTGAGCTGAGGGCCTGACAGGAGAGGAAGCACGGAAGTCACACTTTGAATGAGGAAGAGCCCCTGAAAGCGCCCCTTCGGGCGCCTCACTCACCTATATTGGCTCTTGAGATGAAAGCCTTGGCAAAACTCTTCATTTCGTCAAAGTAAGAAGCTGGAAAGCTGGAGGAGCCATCCAGGAGGAGGACCGCATCCAGGGGCTGGCTGCAGTCTGCAAGGAGAGCAGAGGGGAGCAACCAGGGCTGTGGGGGACTGGCACCAGGCCCCTGCAGCAGACACACACTCAATGGGTGTGCAGGGCGCTGCCGACCACGCGGCGCCACAAAGGGGAGGCGTGTCCCCCAGTTCTGCACCTCGGCAGCTGGCGCCAGGCAGCAGGGAAGGGGGCCGTGAGTCCCCGGGTTTGGAGGCATTGGGGAGACTCCAACTCCACCCAAAGGCAGTTTAAATGCTACAGATGGAAGCAAGAGGCATCCTCCCCTCCATTTCGGGGGCTGCAACTCCTCTAGAACTGAGTGAATTACTGGAGCAGAAAACAGGCAGATGACAAAAGGAAACAGAGCAGCACATCCCTGGAAGGTGGGCTTGTGTGTCCTCAGGTCTCACGGGGCACGCAAGGAGCTAGAAGGTGAACCGATTAAAAATGCTTAAAGCTCACGTTAATGTTTGGGAACAGGATCACGATCGCAGTGAGGAAACAAACTCTGGCCCAAACACTGTTCTGAGATTTGATGATGCTATTACTGAAATAGCACGAGAATTTAGATAACTCTGTGGCACTGATGAAAACAAAAACAAAGAAACAAAGGCACGGATAACGAGTATGGGGATCAAGAGACCGTGAAAGAAGGCTAGTGATTCTGGGGCGTCCCAACCACACCAAGTCAAGATGTTAAAGGGCTAGGAAGTGATGCATCGTTAGTATCAGTTAAGAGGTAATAATCACAGCAGTGGAGTTAAGTCATTTTTGAGCACTTGCTAAGTACTGGGTACTGCTCTAAGCGTATTACAATTACTAGTGTCACCAGCATTTTACAGATGAGGAGACTGATGGACACAGAGGTACTTGCCCAAAATTACCCCAAAATTATTACCAAAATAATTGCAAAAATTACCCAGCTCATAGGTGCCAGAGGTGAGATTCAAACTAAGGCAGCCCGGCTCCAGAATCTACTGGACTTCCTGGCCTTGCCCCTGAGAATGTCAGGTGCTGAGAAAAATTTTATCCACCCAGTGTGGTTAAAAAGCTGATAGTCACCAGATTTAACAGGTTACCTCCAAGGCAGGGAGTGGAATTGGGTGGGGATGAGGCTATATGGTAAAGCAGGACTTGTATTTTTTTAACTCCATATCCTGGTTTTGCTTACATCTTAATAATAAGCTTGCATTACCTTCGCATGTTCAAACTCAGACAGTAAGAAAAGATCCTTCCCCCCAGAAAAGATCACAGGCGTGGCTCCCTGCCCGGCAGGTGAGGAAACGCAGACACTCTGAAGGCGGGGGTCTGGCCGGAGGCACAGAGCAGGGAAGCCAGATCTGAACCTGAGAATCGCGTCTCCACCAAGGCCGCCCCGAGTGCCCCCAAGTCCTCGCCCCCATGCAAGGCACCCGCATACCTGGGACAGGGGCAGGGGTGGGCAGATGCGGCCCCTCTCTGGAGCAGCACCTCTGCAGCACCAGGTCAGGAGCCTCTCGGGGGAGCGTCTCGAAGTCCTTGATGAAGATGGGGGCCTGGGGCCAGCCGAGCTTCTCCAGCTCCGGCACGTCCACGCGAGGCCCCACTCCGATGGGCACCACCTGGATGTCTCCGGGCATCCGCCTGATCTCATCTGAGGCCGGGCTTCCCGTGACCATGTAGACCAGGTTGGGCGCCTGCCCCCGGTCCCCCTCGCTGGCCGAGAAGCTGTGCTCCGACAGGTACTGCAGGGCCAGCCCGGTGTTGGTCTGGTTGCCACCCCTGTAGCGGATTTCCCGCAGCCGCCGCAGGACATCCTCCTTGGACTGCACCTCTCTGAAGGAGTGCTCCACGGTCACCACGTACGAGTACTGCAGCACCGTGACGTGGACACCGTCCCGGCCCACGTCCATCTGCCGGATCACCTCCTCCAAGAACTCTGTGCTCCTGTTGAAGCTGGCCTCGCCCACGCTGTCCGACCCTTCCAGGAGGAATGCCACATCCAGGACCACGGAGCTCCTCCTGGGCGCCGGCGTCGAAGTCCCCGGCGGCTCCGGCGTCACGGGGACCTGGGCCGTGAGTGGCCGCTGCGTGCGGGCAGGCGCTTCGGGGGCGAGGTCGCAGAGGTAGCTGATGATCTCATCCCTCCGCTGTTCCAGCTCGTCCACGCTGCTGAGCACAAAGGCTTTGTTCTCGGGGGCCTGCTTCTCGATGAGGCGGATCTGCCTGAGGCTGGCGTGGGGCCCGATGCCCACGGGGACCATGACGACCTTCTTTTCCTTCAGGCCCTGGACGTAGCGGACCAAGTTCCGGGCCAGCCTGGGGGGCTCCTGGCTGGCCGTGAGCAGCAGGGCCACGCGGGAGGCCTCAGGCCGGTCCACCCTGCTGAAAATCTGGAACAGCGTGTACTTCAAGACCTCGCTGGTGGAGGCCACCTCACTGCCCGCATACTTCACCTGGCTGGCGACGCGCCGCAGCTCCGACGGCCGCTTCCGGTCCTGCAGCGCGACGTAGGCGTGGGAGCCGTCGTGGTACTCCACCACAGCCACGCGGATGCGCTTCTGGGAGATGTGCAGACGCTCCATCACGCCCACCACGAACGCCTTCAGTGTCTCGAAGTCGGCCTCGGACAGCTTGGAGGAGCCGTCCAGCAGGAAGACCAGGTCCAGGAGTTTGCTGCACAAGAAGTCGTGCAGGGGCGGCTCTGGCGTGTCCTCCACGTACGGGGTGGTGAGGCCGACCGGGCTTTCTGTGGGGGGCACCGCCAGGCCTCCCGGTTCCCTGCAGGCTTCACAGGTGAGGCTGACACCATCACAGTGACTGCAAGAGGGGAGAGACCGAAATGGTTCAGGAAGAACCTCTGGGCACTTCCCAGCCCACTGAACCCGAGCCCCCAAGGAACACTGCCCACTCGAGAGAGACACCATGGTCAACATAGTCCCCAAGCAGCCCCCCGACACACACACACACACACACACACACACACACCTTCCCTTGAGTTTTGATCCCCTTGAAAGCCAAAGCTTTCACCCACCCCAGGACCTGAAAAAGAATCTTTCTTCTTCCTTAGCAATCCACACAGCCATTCAAAGTTGGTTTATTTTCAATCTATGTCTCTAGCAACATAAATATTTAATTATAATCCAAGCCTTCTCCCAAAGATCTCCAAAGACAAACACTGCTCTAAAATGCTGATGCTGACCAGGCCTTATAAGTGTTCTATCAAAGGTAAATGCTTTTCAGTATTTATTACAACAGAATTTAAGCTGCATGAATTCTGTACTGTGTTAACATGTTGGGCCCTAAGGAAGAGAGGAAAACTGGAGTAAAATCATTTCAGAGAGATGAATAAAGATTCAAAATCCCAGCTTTATCTGGCAGAATAAAGTATTGGGAGTGGTATACGGGGGTCTCCAAGATGTTAGACAAAGACAGTGACTCACTCATTCTTTCTTGCAATGGACCCACCGTTTACACCCATCATGTGCCAGGGTCTAGCTATGCTCCACACCCAGCCCCAAGCCCCCCACACAAATTCTCACCCCGCCAGGCCAAATTTCCAATCCCCTGGTCACTTCTCTCTTTCACCAGTGTCCTGGAAAGTGGCAGGCTCTGCCAGACCACAGGAGAAATCAAGCTGCCTGTGGCGGAGACCCACACAGGCTAGAACCTTCTCCTTCAACCCAGGTGGGAGCCCAGGGGCAGTGACCCGTGACTCCCAGCTACAAGAGCCGCATCCTGGGACCTTGGCCATGGCCCGAGGTGTCTGTGCCCCAGTGCAGAGTCAAGGGCTCCACCTCTCTTCCTCCCCTGCATCCCCACCTCCAGTAAAAAAGAAATCTGACTTCCATAGATGCCTGTCCCCGGACTAGATGCCACCTCCAAGGATAAGAAGAGACCACATCCTTCCTTCAGCAAGAAGAGGTAGAAAACCTAAATCTCTTGAGAGATATTTCCTGGAAAAGAAATATAGCCTGTCCTCAAAGACAGAGAAGCAAAGTAAGTAAGAACAGGACATTCTTCCCCAAACCGACACTTCTGGGCAGGCCCCCAGGTTAGACAGTAAGACCCATCACTTCAGACAACCAGGGGGACTGTTTTACCAAATCTGGCAGCGCTCAGGGTCCCCGGGGTTCAAGGTGATTTTCTTCCCGGGGGCTAAGCGCCGGCCGGCCGCCTCGCACACAGGGCAGTCTTCAGGGTTGACGCAGGTCTGCAAAAGCTCATCCAAGATTTTCCCTGCATGAGAAGCCTCTTGTTAGGAGCCAAAGTTCCCACCTTTCCCACAAGGAAGACTCTCCTTGCACTAAAAGGCCTGTCCCAACTCTGCCTGCCTCCCCCAAGGGTCCCCTCACCGCTTAGGGAGCATCCTTCTTTCTGAAAAATTAGGAGGTGTTCCTTCCCCCACCTCGCCTCCTCCAAACCCCAGGACAAAGCAAATCTTATCTCCAAGGGTCTTTTTACTCCTCCACCGAAAAAGATATCTGATAACTCTAGATCTGTGCTATCCAATACCGTAGCCAGTAACCACGTGTGGCTGGTTACATTTAAATCTCAATTAAGTAACGTTGAATAAAATTGAACATTCAATCCCTCAGACACACGAGCCACATTTGAATAGAACTTTCCCAGCACTGCGGAAAGTTCTACCAGAAAGCGCTGCTCTAGATGGTACGCCCATAAACAGACCCCAGAAGCATTGCATGGGAGCTCAGCTTGACAAAATCCACAGCTGGCCTGGCTTTGGTGGAAGGACACGGAAACACGACCTAGGGTAGTGGGGCTGGGGACAGGGCGCCACCAGGCGAGGCCGAGAAGCAGCAGTGCAGGGAGCCAGCTTTCCTGAGGACCATCCCAGCCCCGCACCCCTCCCCCGCAGGGGCCAGGGCCTCACCCGGAGGGCAATGTGCATGACAGCCCTCCACACACTGCACGGGGCAGGCCAGCGGCTCAGGGTGCTGGCACGTGACGGGACAGGCGGGAGCACAGCTGTTGTAGCGCCACTCACACTGGTACCCGCTCTCCCGCAGGTTCCGTTCCTCGCAGTTCTGGGCTGTGCAGACCCCAAAACAAGCAGGACCGTTATTAAAGCACCGGGCAACCCTGGACAACCCCAGACAGACGGCCCCAGGGAGGCGATGATGGTACCGGGGAACTACAGAGTCACCCACGTGAGAGGTGTCTAGGCTTTGAGAGCCCCTGAGCCAGGAGCCTAGTGGTTCTGAATCCATTTTCCTTATAAAAATGATCAGCCACTTACATGCAGGAAGGAAGATGCAACATAAATATCTGAGCTGCTTGACCACGATGGCAAATGTGATCATGTCTAATCACAGACCCTCTGACCACCGTCCTCCCTTCGTCACTGCTCCCTCCTCTCAATTTCCTTGACTCTCTCTCCCCATCACTGTCTTCAGTCCCACGCCTCCTCAAGTCCACGCATGCCCTAACTCCCTTCAGCCTCGGCCACCACCCCCGCATGGGTCTCTGTCTTCTCCCCCACGAAGGTGCCCTTCCTCACCCCCCAAGGTCCCAAGGTCTAGATGCATGAGGGGGGAGGGGCGTGTCTGGGACCACGAGGGACAGCAGGACTCACGGCACAACGTGGCCGTCCTCCAGGCCACCACCTCGCCGTGCCGGGCACACACGTGGGCATAGGCAGCGATGGTGTCGCAGAAGCAGGCACAGTCCCCGACGGACTCACAGGAACAGGTGTCGTAGATGCAAACATCCAGGTAGGGCTCGGGGCCCACCTGCAAGGGAGACGCAGGTGGCCTGGGCTGCACTTGGGGACTCTGGCTCTTGGTCTGGGCGTGAATGTTCCAGTGGTCAGAGGAGGGACAGGGGCTCCAGGCAGAAGGAAAGATGTGAGGCAATGGTCCCAAGGAGGGAATGGGTAAAAAGGCAGAAATGCTACATTCTTATGTGGAGTCCAGCAAGAAAAGGGGAAAAAAGCAACGCTGCCAGCCTCTCCTAGAAGAGATGTGCCTGAGAATTTTTCAAAAGAACATTCCTTTCTGTCCATCTGTCCACGTACCTGCTCAGCCATCCATCCGTCCCCATAAGCCACTCCCACCCTCTTGGGTGTCTGCGTGTTTTACATAAACACCACACACACACACACACACACACACACACACACACACACACACACACACACACACAAACACACTCTCTCTTTCCTGGCCTCCACTCAGCAAAGAGACTGAGGAAACACATCAGGACCACTCACACTGTCTCCCTGAGATGCTACAGGCTAGCGTGCTGGACCGCGGCCGGCCCGGTGCTCCTGGACTCCGACCCTAAATCTCCCGGGAGGGGAAGCCCACCCTCGGTCCGTGCTCAGTCTCAGGAGCCACCTCTCACCTTCGGCTGCCCCAGACGTGCCCCCCACACCCACCTTGTTCAGGGCAGTTGTGGTGAGAATGAATTCGGACGTTAAGCCGGTCACTGTGCCCAACAGCCCCGGTTTCCCTGACCCTCTCACTGTCTCCGCCCTTCCAGCTCAGGTGCCTCAGGTCTCCACCAAACCAGGGGATCCTAAGTATCCTTCGGGTCCTGAGGGATTAAAAATCACTGGATGGACAGAAAGAGCTGAGACACAGGTGTTCTACCAGTCACTCCCACGAGGGAGGTGCCACGGAGCAGCACGCGTGTGTACCTGGCTGTGTGTGTGCATGTGTGTATGTACATATACATATACACACATGTACCCACACACACACAGGTGTGCGTATATACATTCATACAGAGATAAGAGAGAAAACTGCATTGAAACTTGTTTGGGGAATTCCTTGTCACCTTGTGAGATAAAAACACAAAAAGAACCTGCTGTATAGCACAGGGAACTGTACTCAATAGTCTGTAATGGCCTATATGGGAAAAGAATCTAAAAAAAAAAGAGTGGATACATGTATACGTATAACTGACTCGCTTTGCTGTACAGCAGAAACTAACACAACATTGTAAATCAACTATATTCCGATAAAAATTTTTTCTAATAAAATAAAATAGATAACCAACAAGGACCTACTGTAAGCACAGGGAACTCTGCTCAATACTCTGTAATAACCTAAATGGGAAAAGGATTTGAAAAAGAATAGACACACGTATATGTATAAGTGAATCACTTTGCTGTACATCTAAAACACAGCATTGTTAACCAACTATATTCCAATATAAAATAAAAATTAAACAACAACAAATGACACAAAACAAAGCCATAAAATGCAGGCTCAAAATCTGGCTTTAAGACCAGAAAAAAGTTTCCGTGAGACAAGACCTGGGAACGGGGCCAGCGGCGGGGTGCCCGGGGCCAGAGACACGGTGGGGATGGGAGAAGGAAACTCCCGCTCTAATGTTGGAGACAAGATAATCTGTGGGCGACAAACCCTAAGACTGAGGCTGGAAGAGCAGCAGCATTGGATGCCCAGAGAACAATGTAGAAAAATGATCTGCCAGGCATTGCTCTCCTCATACACCCTCAATTATTCTTTCTGTTCCCCAGCCTGAAGCCAAGAGAGGTGAGCAGCTGCAGACGATTTCTGAGGCTCCTGGAAGCATCCACAGCTAGAAGCGCCTGCCCCCGGGGGCCCTGCCGCCCTCACCAGCCTGTTGCACTCCTGGAAAATGTCGCTGGTGAGGATACTGCAGGAGGAATCCACCATCGTCTGCTTCATGACGTTGTTGTGGCAGGTGGCAGGGGATGGGTCCAGTGGCACCTGGGGAACCGGGCAGGAGTACACAGATGGACCCGGAAGAGTCAACCCGGAAGCGCTCCAAGAGGCCCTCTCCCCAAGCTCTGCCCCCGCCACAGGCCAGAGCACCCACCGCCCACGGTCCGCACCGCGACCCCGACCTACTTTCTGGGTGTCAGCGCACCGCGGGCTCACTTTCCAGGAATTCCCAAAGTCCACGGGGTCTTCCTCCACTTGGAGGCTACTGCTGGTGAGGTCGTTGTTCTGGATGCCGTCAAAATTCCCACACAGGCCACACACCTGCTCCTGGGGGACCAGTTGGGAGCATAAGCTTTGCAAACCTCAGAGCAAACTCTGAGTCAGGAAAGCGAGGGTTCCAGGCAGCATGGGAGGCAGGCTCGCCTGAGGAAGAGGACGGTGGGAGGAGACAGGGAGGGAGGCGCAGAAGGAGACCAGGGTGACCAGCAAAGTCTTGACCTTGCCAAGGCCTTTACCCGCTTCCACAATGACCTCATGTTAAGGTTAAGGAAACCAAGGTCGTTCACAAAGAGAGGCAGCCCGCCCATGTCCCTCGTATGGCCAACTAGGCCTCTAGGGCCCTGGTGTCTGCAGTACAAACCATCAGCTGCCCCAGTAAGGGTCTGAGCAGAAGAGGAGCCGGTCCAGCGTTACACCAATGAGAGTGTGAGAAGCCTGAGGGGGGATCCTTCTAGTCCTACTTGACCGTGGACAGGTGAGTCCCTTACCTAAACAAGCCTGTTCAGAACAGGCTGGCCAGCACTAAATGCCACCAGGGCTGACATAATATCTTACTCAATTCCATGTTCACCTATCATGGGCTGCAGGACACAAGTCCTGACCAACAATTGAATGAATGGGTGGAAACCATCACGTAAGAACCAGGGACAAAACCGGAGCTATTTGGCCTGGAAAAGAAAAGATGCCATGCTCTTAGAACAAATTTGGAGCCCTGCCTCGGGACAAAGAGATGTGACTTATTCTATTTTGCTGGGAAACATGGACAAAAGGACAGAGATCTTTACATGGCCCAACAGCCCCCATGGCGTGGCCCCTGCCCCGTCCCTGCCCTTGTTAACTACCAGTCACCCCAAGCCCCTCCTCTCCAGCCACCCTGGCCTCCGTGTCCAAACACAAACACCATCCACCTTAGGGCCTTGGCACCTGCTACTCCATCTGCCTGAATTCTCGAGTCAGGATATTTACGTGGCTCCCTCCCTCCCTTCCACAAAGACTCCACTCACACCCTTTGAGACAGGTCTCATCAGACCAACCAATTTAAAACACACAATATCCCCACTAGAATATGATCTCCACCAGGGTTGTTGTGGACAAAACCATGGTGCCCACAAAGATATCCATGTTCTCATCCCCGGAAGCAGGAATATGTTACCACACGTGGCAAAAGGAACTTTGCAGGTGTGATTGCGTTAAGGGTCCTGAGATGGGAAGGCTGTCCTGGATCATCTAGGTGGGCTCAGTGCAATCACAGGGTCTTATAAGGAGCACAGAAGTCAGAGTGAGAAATGTGATGTGACAGAGAGAAGCAGAGAGAGTGGAAGATGCTATGCTGTTGGCTTTGGCGATGGAGGACGGGACCACAGCCAAGGGATGCGGGCAGCCCCAGAAGCTAGGAAAGGCAAGAAGACAGATTTTCCCCTAAAGCCACCAGAAGGAATGCAGCCCTGCCGACCAAGTGTATACTTTTGACCTCCAGAACCAGAAGATAATCAATTTGTGTTGCTTTTTTAAGCCACTAAGTCTGTGGTAATTTATTATAGCAGCAATAGGAAACTAATACAAAGTTAAGATACATATATATATAACTATATATACGTATACATATATATATATATATATATGTATACGTATATATAGTTATATATAGTTCTTTCCCTGCTGTGTCCACAGTGCCTAGAATAGTTGCTGGGAAGGTCTGTCCTGCCACCAGGGCAGACAGAGCACTTGTCACATTCATGCCAGTCAGAGAAAATCAAGTCCCAGCAAACCATCGGAACCTGGACGGATACCGCAAGCAGCTTTCCCCAAAGCAGGTGATGAGCAGTTTCACCGCAAGCATCGGCCGGTGCTGGCCTGTGGCCCCGTGGGAGGGTGCACCCAGAATGCTCTGCAGAGTTATGATAACATCACGTGTGACCGTTTGCCTCTTGAGGTTAAGAAACCTTGAGAATAACTCTTGCCCAATCTTTTCTTTCCTTCCTTTGTGGATATAAACTACTTGCCTAGCAAGGCCAGTCAAGGGACTGTGTGCAGGGTCCGGGAACCCTCCATCCTTCTCAGAGGCAGCCTGTCTCGGGAAACAGCCAAGGCGAACTCTAACCCTTGAGTCTTATTTGCAGCGGGAGGGAGGCTGGACTAGGTGACCATCCACCCTCCCCCAAGACGGCGGGCGGGGGCCGCGGACTGCTGCTCAGGAAGCTGAAGATGCAAACGGACAGGATGAGGGGGAAGCGGAGAAGGGCCACCCACCTGGTAAGTCTGCTTCAGGAACACAGAGATACCCAGGTGGCGGTCCCAGACCACGGAGAGGGCCTTGCCCAGAAGCACGGTGATGTACAGGCCGGACTCCACCACCTCAAAGTAAGTATCATCCTTCATGGACCTCTTCACGCTCACCTGAGGGAGGACGCAGTGTGAGACCAGGACAGTGATGGTCAGGTGTAAGGCCCGGCTCCCCCCGCCCCGTGGCCCTCCAGAGCCGCTGGTCATTTGCCCCATTCGGCCAGAGCTGCAGCTACCTCTCTCCAAGAATCCTAGGATAAAGAGGTGGCGGCAAAAACATAATTACGAGATTAAAAATACAATGAAACCTACTGGCAGAAGATCACCTATCAGGTCATGAAAAGAATTTTTTGGACACTTCACCATTAAATACACATGGTCCCCTAAAGAGGTTTTTAATTTGGTGATGATTTTAAGCACCTCTAGGCAACTGGTTTAAAATGGACCTAGAGACTGTCATACAGAGTGAAGTAAGTCAGAAAGAGAAAAACAAATACCATATGCTAACGCATGTATATGGAATCTAGAAAAATGGTACTGATGAACCTAGGGGCAGGGCAGGAATAAAGACGCAGATGTAGAGAATGGACTTGAGGACACGGGGAGGGGGAAGGGTAAGCTGGGACGAAGTGAGAGAGTGGCATGGACTTATATACACTACCAAATGTAAAATAGTTAGCTAGTGGGAAGCAGCCGCATGGCACAGGGAGATCAGCTGGGTGCTTTGTGACCACCTAGAGGGGTGGGATAGGGAGGGTGGGAGGGAGACGCAAGAGGCAAGGGATATGGGGATATATGTATATGTATAGCTGATTCACTTTGTTGTACAGCAGCAACTAACACACCATTGTAAAGCAATTATACTCCAATAAAGATGTTAAAAAAGTAAATTAATTAAATAAAATAAAATCCCTTATTGGCTTATTAAAAAATAAATCCACCCCTTTATTAAAACGAGCACTAGATTCTCCCCTTTCCTCCCGTCTCCCACTCAAGTTGCCGTCAGCAGGAGTCAGAGCTGAACAGGGAGACAGGGAAGCTTGGCGCTGGAAGCAGGAATCCCAGACTTCAGCTCCCAAAGGACCTGAGCCCTTGACTCGGCTGACTCGCTGCCGGTGCCGAGCGCTCCCGGCCCGTTTCACGGTACTTGGCTGACCATCTAACCCATAAGACTGAGGCTGACACTAAGAACTTGTCACCCCTTCGCCAAGGTCCTCTCCCTGGGGACACACCACAGGCAGGGCCTCCCGCTCTATGTCACCACTGTCATCTGTCCTAAGTAGAACTGTTCCTGAAATGGACACGGCTGACCCAAGTCAACAGGTCCTGCTTTTTGCTCCACAGCTATCTTCTCTAAGGGAGAATTCCCCTCCCACCTCCTAGTGTCAGCGGTGCGGTTTGTTTTGGTTTTTTTCGCTTTTTTGCGGTACGCGGGCCTCTCACTGTTGTGGCCCCTCCCGCTGCGGAGCACAGGCTCCGGACGCGCAGGCTCAGCGGCCACGGCTCACGGGCCCAGCCGCTCCGCGGCACGTGGGATCTTCCCGGGCCGGGGCACGACCCCGCGTCCCCTGCATCGGCAGGCGGACTCTCAGCCACTGCGCCGCCAGGGAAGCCCAGCAGTGCGTATTTGCCAGAAGGCAGGATGCGGGCTGAGGCCACAGAACAAAATGAAGGTACGGGGAAGGGGGTGAAGCCCAGACCCGGGTCTCCCAGGAACCGATGTGGCCAGACCAGCACAGCTGTGCTCCAGGGACCCCTGCCACTTCAGACGCAGGTTCCCGGGCCTCACCCAGACCTGAGCCAGGACCTCAGGGTGGACCCAAAGGTTGATGTCTTAAACAAGGTCTCCTGAGTGGTTGGTTCTCAGGTAGACTTCTGAGAGCCACTCCGTGCGCTCTTAGCACACAGGGCCTGAGTCTGTGCACTGTGAGCTCTTTAGCAAAGATTTTATCTAGAAAGAACCGAAAAACATAAAAGAAGGTAAAAATCCCCCCAAACACCATCACGTCCCAAAATATATATTTATATATGCGTGTATATATATAACATATTGTATGTATAATAAGTGTGTACATACTTGTATATATATTATATATGTGTATATATGTATGTATATGTGTGTATATATTTTTGTGAATATATGTATACAAGTGTGTATATGTGTGTATACATTAGTATATAATATACAACGTGGGTATATAATATATACTATATAAGTGTGTATATGTGTGTACATATTTGTATATATAATATATGTAAATGTGGGATATATCTGTATATTATGTATACATGTGTATATTTGTATGCATAGTATACGTGCACATATGTGTGTATACATTTGTATACATAATACATATAACTGTAGGTATATAATATATGTGTGTATATTTGTATGTATAATATGTGTACATGTGTGTACATTCATATATATAATACATAAAACTGTGGGTATATAATACATATGCATTTGTGTGTATACTTGTATGCGTAATATATGTGTATATGTGTATACATTTGTATTTATAATACATATAAATGTGGGATTTAATATATATGTATATGTGTGTACTGTGTATAACGTATTTGCATTTATAATGTATGTGTACATATGTGTTCATACATTTGTATACATTATATTTATATATATATGTGGGTATATAATATATATGTATATATGTGCATATACATTTGTATATAATATATATATGTGGGCTATAATATATATGTATATATGTGTATGATATATTGGTATGTATAATATACGTGTATGTGTGTATATTTGTATATATAATATGTATAACTGAGGGTATATAATATATATGTATATGTGTGCATGTATAGTATACTCGTGTGTGTGTGGGTATATTTGTATATATAGTGTGTATATAATACATATGTATATATGTGTGTGTACATACGTATTGCTATGTGAAAGTCCTCCCACCCTCCCATCTCCCGTCGCCTCCAGAGGTCAGCCCTGGCACTCCCAACACTGGTGCAGATACGGTTACACACCCTTCTCCACATGTGTGTCTGCACTTCCTTCCACTAAAATGGATCGTGTAATCTGTCACCACCTGCCACCTGCCACCCTCACAGGACGAGGCGAGGTCAGAGGATACAGTGCTACCGCATCTCTCCACTGGCTGCACGACGTTCCATCCACACACGTTCTGGACAAACACTCGGCATGTGCTCTTCATCAGCCGAAGGAGGGGCGTGAGGGTGGAGGGACGAGCCCACACTCACCTCCCCATTAAACAGCTCAATCTCGCCTCCTTCCACCAGGATGGTGACACGCTTCCTGCATTTCAGGGAGGGGTAGCCGCACCCCTCGTTCCCCACCAGGATCCGGAAGGTCCCAGGGTTACTGCCACAGTAATCCTGGGGAAAAACAGGTGTCAGGATAGAAACACTATCCCTGCTACTCCTCCCCAGATCAGCAGACTGGGGTCCCATCACCTCAGGCCTTTGAAGGATGTGTTACAGGAGGTTGCCATGTCCACGTGTGTGTGTGAGAGAGAGACAGAGACAGAGGACACTCACAGGTGTGTCATCCTCAGCCATCACCTATGAACCAGGTGCCTACAGCCAGGTTGGGGGGGGGTGAGGGGTGGGAGGGAGAGAAGGAGGGACACAGGGAGAGAGAACGTGGACCCATCAGCCTACAGCTCCCCCTGAGCCTGTTAGTCCAGCCTCAGCCGGGGAACTAGCAGAGTCCAGCCACGTGGCACTTGGCAGCTCTAAGTTCTGGTGGAGTCCCTCTGGACTGCTGGCCCAGAACTGTAACCAAAGACTGCCAGACCCAGCAACACCAGCTGAGCTCCCGTCCCTAGCAGGGAACAGAGGGTATGGGAGCACTGGTCCTCGCTGGGGCATTGCATAGAAAGGAAGCAAAAGCAGACACGTTTCTGGCAAATATCTCCCATGGTGGCTATATTGCTGTGATGTGATGGGAAAAAAAACACCCAGCACAGAAAAGCTAGGGGTGGGCCTTGTTTCTGCCACTTACTGGATAATATTAAGTCACTTACCTCCCTGACCCTCACACACACACACACACACACACACACACACACACACACACACACACAGAGACACACGTTCATATACACACAGACACACACACATACACACATACCACACACAAACACACATATATAACACACATGCATGCACACACATACAAAGACACATACACATACACTCACACACACATATACATACATTCCACACACACGATGTGCCCCTCTGTAAGATGGGATCCGCCAACTTGATGGGATTGGTAGGTTAAACGGGTTTGTCTTGGGTTAATGGGATTGTGAAAGTTAAAAGAGGGAACAAAGGTACAAGTGCTCTGTCACCAGCTGAGATTTTTCTGAAGGAGAAAGAGTTAAGTCCTGATAACACCTCCCAAAGGAGGAAGGGAGGAAAGGGAGGGCCCCCCCCCCCGCCCCCGGACAAAGTGCCAGAGGGGAGAGCGGCACTGGCGGTGGCAGGAAAAGCAGCCCCATGAGGGGCACGACTCGGAGGGGCTCCAACTGGCCCACCTGGCCAGCTTCTCCTAGGCAGGAAGAGCTGGGGCGGTAGGTCTGACCGGCCCCTCTCGTTGCACTGAAATGTCATGTTTTCTGGGTGCCCGGATCTGAACGTGGCTGGGGAGTGGAGCCCCAGAGCTGGTATCACCCCATCTTTTGCTACCACGGCTGGGAGGCAGACAGATAACAGAAAGACGGGCTTCCATAGACGATGCGTGGGAAAGCCCTAGAGGGTTCCTGGGTGTGGGTAAAAGCATTTCGTGGGGTGCACGCCCGTCTCCCCATCGTGCCGCCCACCTCTCTGGGGCCAGCCTGTGGCGCGGGCCAGAGGCAGGGGGCTCGCTCCCCAAGCGCTGGGCAGGTGTCATGCTTGGTGCCCCTGCCCTCGTTGCCTGACTCCCGGACCCTGCAGCTCTGTCTCTGGGGCTGAGGCTCCGTCAGGTCTGCGGTCCTCCCTCCAGCCCACACCAAGCCCCTCCCCTGACGCCCCCGGAGAGAGCCGAGACGGAGAGACCGCATTTGTTTAAGCTGCGCAGAGCCCAGCGGCCTGGAGGACAAAGCGCTCAGCCCTCCTTGCTCACCCACGTCGGTGTCAACCAGCAAGAGAACTTGCAGGAGTCCGTGGGCGGGAAAGGGGGCCGAGCAGCCCTCACGCAGCAGCTAGGATTCCCCCAGGCTGCTCCTCGGCCTGCCAGGCAGCAGGACCTTCTGTACCCACAGCCCCTCACCACCTCCCATTCTGAGCTGCACGAGGTTAGAAATGAACATGGTGGAGAATGCGATGGAATGGAATGGGGACTTCCTTGGTGGTCCTGCGGTTAGGATGCTGCGCTCTCACTGCCAAGAGCCCGGTTCAATTCCTGGTTGGGGAACTAAGATCCCAACCAGCCTCGAAGTACGGCAAAAAAAAAAAAAAGAGAGAGAATAGAATAGAACAGAATAAAATAGAATAGAATCACAGGGTGGGAACCAAACTCCAGGGGCATTTCAACCTTCCCTGAGTGGGCTGTTCACTGCCCAAGGATGCTGGCAGGGAGGGTGCTGGGGATGAAATCCAGCCCGGGCTCCACTCCCCACTGGTGCCCTGACTGAGGCTGTGTCTGCCAGAAGGAAAGGGAGCCTTCCTCTCGTTGCATTGTGCTGGGACTGGGGCAGATGAGAGCCTGCCCCACACCAAGGCCAGTCAACGAATGAGCTTCTGCCCCGTCCTGGGAGGCGTGCAGGTGAGCTGGAGGAACACAGCAGTCACTCGAGTCTCGTGGTCCTGCCTCTCCAGGGGCTGGAAAATCACTCCCGTAGAAACCAGCCCCCAGAGCTGTTTCCACCGACAGAACGGTGGCATCCGGCCTGGGAGCACACTCACCCCCGAGCCCTGCTCTCACCTGTGCCAGGACGTACTGGCACTCCCCGGGGAACAGGTACTTGAGCCCGTCAAAGGTGAGGTAGTGAGCCAGGCCCAGGGCGGAGCAGGTGGCATCGCACACGTGGTCCGTGCAGTTCCACTTCCGGTCCCGACAGACACTGGGAACAGAATGAGGGGGGTGAGGGCGGGGCCCTCGGGCGTCGGGACAGCAAGGATGCCACCCACCCTCCAGGAGGCCTCAGGAAGCGTTGGGAGGGTGGTCTGAAGGCTGTGGATCAGACCTCACAGGGCCCCGCGGTCATGAACCCACACATTTTCAGAGCACAGGGCCCAGGAGGAGAGAGAAGCCATGCTGCCCACCCCCCGTCACGAGGCAAAGAAGGGCCCTGGTTGGCCGAGGTGACCCGGGGACACTCTGTCACCACCTGCTCCAGACGTGCCAAAGCCCAGCCTCCCAGGACATCACCTGGGAGGGGCTACAGGGTCTCTACAGAAAAGACACTGAGGCCAATAGCGCCTCTGAGGCTAAGGGAACACATGTCCAGAATGGCAGGAAAATTCTGAGCTGGGGAAACAGTGACCAGCTGTGAGCTTCTGCCAGGAGAGGGTGGGCAGCAATGTGTGTAAACCCACAGCGATTTGCCGGCTGCCCTATGGCCCCATCCCTCCGCCCAGTAACAGAGCCGACATCAGGAAGCCCGACAGGGGCGGCAGCAGTGGAAAGCTCAGACCTCAGGCCCCAGACACTAAGCCCCTTCCTGCCTGTCCCTGTGGCCCTTCCCTAAAGCTGTGCACTGCCCCAAAGAAAGGCACAGTGAGTGAGCAGAGCCCGGGGTTGTGTGAAGGACGGTCTCTTTCCAGGCAAGCACACTCGCAATATGGCTGGGGGACAGGACAAGGCCAGAGAAGGACCCCCCATCCCGTGCCCTGGGATAGCTTGGTCACGCATGCAGTGATGGATATGGCCCTTATCTTCCCCAGGAAACACTTCTGTCCAGAAAATGTCCCCGTGGGGTGAGTACAGGGATGATAAAGTCTCCCATTTGACAGATGGAGAAACAGAGGCACAGAGAAAAGGAAAGGAGCAGCCACGTTACCATGGGTGGGAGGGGAGCAAGTGCCAGGGCAACACCCCAACCCCGTCCCCAGCGTCCCTGGGCCTCACCAAGTGTTGCAGTCCACCTTCACCGTCTCTCCGGGGGTGTACTCTCTGCCCTGGTGGAAGCAGGGACACCTTTCCAGGGCCACACACCTGTTGTCCTGCCGGACCTAAGGGAAAGCGATCCAAAAGTCTTGGGGCCGGAACGAGTGATCCAACAGCCGCGGCCAGAGGCGGCCCAGGGAGCCCACGCCCAGTCTGGGGCTGGAATCCCGGCTCTTGTCTACACTGGTCCCCCTGGCTCAGCTGAAGACACTCTGACCCCCTCCGCCCTCATACACTGCAGGGGCAGGAGCCCTGGGACCTGGTGGAGACTCTGATAACACGTCAGAAGCCTTTGAGACGTGCATCTCCTTAGACCCAGTAATTCCTCCAGAGGACTTCTCCAAAGGTAATAGAGTTATAGGCAAAAACTTATGTACAATTATTTATCATTCCAAAATAAAAATGGAAGCAACTAAGTGTTCAACAATAGGAACATGATTAAACCCATTAAGGAATCTCCAGGTGATGGTGTCCTGTGGAGCGCATTAAAATCTGAAAAGTTTTGAGAACTACTTATGCTGTTAATTTCTAAAACAAGGAAGAAAAAAACTGTATACACATATGGTCCAAATGATTAATATATATATGCATATATTTCAAAAACAAAAAAGTCTTGAAGGAAATATATAAGTTGCCTCCAAAGGGCTTGCAAAGTGTAGACGTTGCCTCTGGGGCCAGGATAAGGGAATCTTATTTTCTTTTTTGGTTTTTAAATTTTTTTTCTGAATGTTCTTCATTGAGCATCTACTATGTTCTATAGCTGAAGAAAATGGATAATGTATTCAATAAAATGAATTAATTAGTGAACAGTGCACTTAATGCCCTAGAGGTGAAAGCTGAATAGTGGCCACAGGCAGGGATGGACCAGAACCAGAGGCTGGGCGTTTTCAAGCCCCACGTGCACCCTTGTCACCCCATCCCCTGACGGTCCAACACACCCTCACAGGGCCTGCCCTTCTTCCCCACACCCCCACCAGTGAAGGAGGAACTATGTGACAAGTTATACTCCTCAGGGGTGCCGGGGCCAGGAGGAAAAGAATGAAGACCCGCTGGCCCCAGTGACCTTAGGGAGAGCTGGCCAAACCCCCTCTGATCCCACACGTAGATCTGCTTCTGTCCCAACCCTAGGAGGCAGCCCTGGACGCCGGCTATGAGTGACCCTGGGTGAAGGGACCACGGCACTCTGGTTCCAGAGCCACCCGAGGGGTGAGAAGCTGCTGGTCTGGATGCCTTAGCATCTGTGCGATCCCGTCACTCGGCAGACAAGCCTGGGTTCCCTGGGCCTAGAGCCAGACAAAGCCCTGGGACAGAGCGGTCTTGGGCTGAACAAAGACTGAACTCATGTGTGTGCATATGTATATGTGTGCGTGCAAGTGTGTGTGTGCATGCGTCTGTATTTACGTGCGTTTGTGTGTGTGTGTTTGCATGTGTGTGCATGCATGTGTATGTGTATGTGTGTGTATGTGTGGGTGCATGCGCGTGTGTGTGTGTGTGTGTTGGAAGGGGTGGAAAGAAGAACCTCCACGACTCAGCCACCAGCTTCATGCAGCCTCTGGAGTGTTCCCAAGTCCCCGAGGCCGAAGGGAAGGGGCAGGATGGGAGCTAGAGTGAGGATGATGCAGGGGGACCACGCTCTAGGTGGCTCGTACCTCCGGGGGCCACAATGTCCTTGGCAGACTTCCAGCTTAGGCACCCAGTAGGGAGGACGGCAGCCCAGTGGGAACAGGGAGGATGGGAAACGTCCCTCCCCCCCAGTCTTCAAAAGCCTTGCAATCAGGCTTCACCCCCGCATCCCCCAAGCTTGTCATCTTTCATGTAGGTCCCAGACCCGCCACCTCGTGGCTACTCTGGGAATGACCATGGCCTCCCTGGGGACCCCCGACCTGCTTGCCAGCCCGGGCTCCTACATGTAATGGAGACCAACCAGAAAACGAGCCTCGTTATGGGAAACATTACGTGAGGCGAAGCGATGAAGGATGGATTCCAGAAAGCGGCCCTGCTCACCTCTCCTGAGCGGAAGCAGGCTGCAGGGAGGCTCCCAGGCCTCTTGGTCTGCGAGCTGGATGTTTTTACCTCTCTCCAGGGTGGTCAACCCACTGACAAAATGTCCTGCACTCCCAGGGCCCAGGTAACCCCTCGCCTGGGCCAGGGGTGAGTCCCAGGGAGCCCGGCCCTCCTCCAAGGGACAGAAAACTCAAATCCCAGTTTGGCCATGAAATAATACTGTCACCCCCTTCCGAGCTCTCACTGACAAACCACATGGCTCCCCTCTGCCCTGCTTATTTTAGTGAAAGGAGATAAGGAGATGACTAATTGATGGATTATGATATTAAAATAGGACCTTGGTATCAAATGAGGACAGGGGCACGGGTTTAGACCTAGGTCAGAGCTGGAGGAAGCAAAGTGGAGCCTTAAAGGGAAAGGAGAGGTTTCTCAGCAGGAGGCTCCCGACTTGGAACAGAAGATCAAATATCACCAGCCTAGCCAAAAGCACCCGGAGTCCTAAAGCGCTAAAGAATCCACAGAGATAGAAAGATAAAGACACATGCAGGAGATGGACGGGACGGAGATGAGAACAGGTCCACGTGTAGGGTGGGCCAGTGCAGCAGCCCCGAAGTGAATTTCGTGCAAGTCACTTACTTAAACTTCATGTTTGAAAAGAAGAGAACCATTCCTGCCTAGTGTTTTTCCCTTTAGGACACCAGAAGGATAATAAGATAAAGTTGACGAAAGTTGACGAATGTCCTTCAAGGACTTCAGAAGAAAACAGACAGAAATAGCAGTCGCCATTGTTCATCAGCTCATGACACCTTGAGTAAGAAAGGCTCATGCTGAGAACACAGTCCTGGGTCTTGATCAGCAAGAAAAATTATGAAGCAGAAAAATATTGGCGTTGTTGCTCTTCTCTGAAAAGGCCCCATCTTCACCCCGCCATACTGACCCATTCTCCAGAATCTTTTTTTGCCTTCCAGCTGTCCTCTGTTCTCCCCACCAATACTTCCAGCTCAATGAAGCTGCCTTCAACTAGATGTTTGCTAGAGGAAAGAATCTGATGAAATAACTCATGCTAAAGTGTGAATGACTTCCTATGAGGATTTATAAGGTAAGCTTTTTTAAAGTTGTTTTTTATTAACCAAACTAAATTCATACCTATTATATTTCAGTAAACCTGATTAGGTGACAAATCATAGGAAGTGTAGGAGATATCTTTGAGACAGGAGGGCTTTCTTGGGCCTTTTACAATTACATCTCGTAGGATTTACAGTGCGCACATGAGAGGCCCTCTCTGGATGGGCCCCTGAGCCCAAGCCCTACCTTTCAAAAAGCAGCGCCAACCAAAGGGGAAAGGGGGGGAGGGATAAATTGGGAAATTGAGATCGACATATACACACTACTATACATAAAATAGATAACTAATAAGAACCTGCTGTATAGCACAGGGAACTCTGTTCAATGTAATGACCTATATGGGAATAGAATCTAAAAAAGAGAGGATATATGTATATGTATAACTGATTCGCTTTGCTGTACACCTGAAACTAACACAACATTGTAAATCAACTAGACTCCAATAAAAAATAATTAAAAAAAAAAAAAAACCACACAAAAAACCAAATAGCAGCACCAAAGGCTTTTCAGTCTTCATAGTGGGCCAGTGAGAAAAGTGGGCCTCAAAGGACCAGGGAAATGAACACACGTCTCAGCTGCTGAGAGCTTTTCCAGTACCAGCAGAACTGGGTACCAGTTTGGAAAATGTGACCACTGGACTTCAGAGCGTAAGTGAGCATCTCCCAGACAGGGGTACTACACTGGGAGTCAGGAGGCCAGGATTTCCACTACACAGTTATGTAGCCTCGAATGGCTCTGTGTCCTTTCTCTCGTCGGTCTCCTTCTGTGTCCTCGGGGCGGGGCGGAGGAGGGGATGTTGAAAGCGTGAGTCTTTAAGGTTCCTGGCTCTGCCTGGAGACAATTACAGCCCCTACTGGGACGGAGTGAGCCGGGCGGTGGGTTGTGCTTTGCTGCCACCTCGTGGTGGAAGCAGGTAATAGTCTAATTTAAAAGCAGGAAGTGCATTCAAGGATTTTTTAACCGTAGAAAAATACTTGGGAAATTTTCTCGTGCAACCCCTTCATTTTATTGATCTAGTGGGTCTTACATGTGGATCCCGAGGTCCAAAAAATTGCTCCCCAGTGTGCACTAATTTCCTATAGCATCTCTGTCCATAATATGGTTCAAGATTTTCCTCCACGAACTTCTTGTAACCGCGGTCATTAAACCACCACTTATGAAGCGACTTCCATGTACCCACCACTGTCACCTCCAATCGTCTCAAGAACCCTTCTGACCCAATTTTACAGGTGAGAAAAATAAAGACACAAAGATGTTAAGTGGCTTGCCACTCTGTTGAAGTAAACGTCAGGCGCCCAGATTCAAGCCTGGAAGCTCGGGGCAGCTTCCACACCAACGACCCATCAGGGTGGTCAGAAAGCATCCCCACCCCTGGTCCTATGCAAGGAGACCTTGGCACCAGTGTCAGGAGCAGATGGAGTGAAGCAGAAAGCCTCTGATCTGAGCGGGTACCAGGCCCGGAACAAACTGCAAAGGGGGTGGTCCTCAGGACCAGTGCAGGTCTGTGAGGATGTGAGTGCAGCCTGGAGGGTAGTAGGTGTTTAGAAAATCACGTGCAATATATCCTGTCTGTTACTCATGTTCGTATGTCATTGCCTTTTGCTTCACTTTTCCGATAATTCACTTCTATTATATTTACAAAAGCTTTGGTCCACAACAGATTGCAAATTTATGAAAATGGGCCCTTCCTGGGTCTCTCCCATGGACCAGAGGAGGGGGCCAGCCCAGCCTCTGAGACAGCCTCGGTTAAGGACGAAAACAACAACTGAAGCTATTCCCATGATCCCATAGCACTTTCTGGTTTTAAAAGTGCTTTCAGGGCTTCCCTGGTGGTGCAGTGGTTGAGAATCTGCCTGCTATACAGGGGACACAGGTTCGAGCCCTGGTCTGGGAGGATCCCACATGCCGCGGAGCAGCTGGGCCCGTGAGCCACAACTACTGAGCCTGTGCGTCTGGAGCCTGTGCTCTGCAACAAGAGAGACCGCGATAGTGAGAGGCCTGCGCACCACGATGAAGAGTGGCCCCCGCTTGCCGCAACTAGAGAAAGCCCTCGCACAGAAACGAAGGCCCAACACAGCAAAAATTAATTAATTAATTAATAAACTCCTACCCCCAACATCTTCTTTAAAAAAAAAAAAAGTGCTTTCACATATGACTCCTTCAGGCCCATGTATGAAGGCAGAGCAGGAATTCTGCGCCCATGTTACAAATGAGGCAACTGAGGCTCAGCGAAAGTGAACGTGCAAAAGCAAGGAGCCAGGAAGCGGTGAGGCTGGGCTGGGAGCTGGGCCCTCAGGCCCCTGTTCCTACTCTCCCTGCTCCCTGTGGATCTGCCCCCAAGGAAGGAGCTGCTCCCTCCTCCTCTCGAGTCCTCAGAACCCCTCACCTCTTCCCCCAAACCCTCAGTGACATGCCACAGCCTCCCACCTTCCACAGGGGATGGCTGAACGAGACACACCCCCTTGGAGGATGTCTGCGCCCATGGGCCCAAACAGTGTTTTCCGCTCCTTTTCCTTTGCGTGGAGGCCAAGAACAAAACAGCCCAGTCTCTTATCCCACAAGCCTCAAGTTCACAACCCCTGCGGTTAGGGTGAGAGACACCTTGTTAACATGACAGATGTCCAGAGACTGTCCTCGGGAGGCCAGAGGCTGCAGGAGTGCCCACGAGTCCCTAACGACGCGTCCTCATCTTGCATTCAAGGCCTCGCTCTCCACTGGGGATTTGGGACAGTAATGCAATTATTGTGGTTACTAATATTTAAGACTCTCTGTACTATTTCCTTCGTGGGGAAAAAACAAGTTCATTTGAAAGAGCCCCTGATGCTTCCAGTCTCCTGAGCGGCA